GCGCATGCAACGTGACACTGTCAAGAGAAATTGCTCGGCACATGAACAACGTCTGGGATTTCGAAAGAGTCAACACGCGCTATGACCGCAAATCCGGTTACCTACATCTCCAATCAAGCCTTGGAGCTAGGATCAAAATGTTCATCAGACTGAAATCCACCAAATCCCGAATTTGTTTAGGAGAGTCTCTGTGGAATAAAAACGTCGCAGCAAATGAGTGCAGTCGGTTTTCCAAAATGATTCTATCAAAGGTAGATCTCGAACAAATTTTCCACGGGGGGGGGGGCAAAACTGAGAGTTTCCTCATGTAACCAATGCGGGACGAGCGTATGTAGGGACTCTTACACGCTTTTCGAAGTTACAACCCCCCCCCCCATAAATCGCCTTTTTCTCATTGTTAAGGACTAAAAAACCCAAAACCCTCTTTGTGGGATGGGGTTATGGCCGGCCCCCTTTAGGCCCTACCCACCCTGGATCCTCCATTAATCGCATTACATTGGTCGATTCTATCCGTAAAAATAGGGGTTACGCATCGTTGTTAGTAATAGCAATATATGGCAGGTGCATCAGTGTCGATTTGGCTTTGATTCTGTTGTGAAGGGTACCGGACACAATGCTGAAAAATAAACGACAGCCGTGGAAAAGTTAATTGAAACTGAATCTCTTCAACAGTTTACGGAAGTGAAGTCCAAAGTCTCACAGCCTTCAAATTAGTTGGGCAGGCTTGGTGGTGGAGTCGTTTCGATGTCTGTATCAAGAGGCAGGAAGTCATTGGCTCAAGTACATATACTGAGCAAGCTCTTGCAGTGGTGGTTAATACAACTTACGGCAAAGCCAAGTCGTTTGAAATTCACAGTTTCCTGGCGTGATGATTATAGTGTCCGAAGAAGCCGACGAAATGTGCAGCTTGTCTTCCAACCGTGCTCTTCGCGTATACTCCCCAAGAAGTTGAGTGAGAGTGTCTGCTGTCTACTAACACCATTTCCGTGTTGTGTCGGCACGAGAGCGCACAATGGCGTCTAAGTTTTGAATCGGGGAGGATGGGGCATTATTTTCTGAAAACGATTATTATTTTGTTCATCCGGGAATGAACACACACTCACTCTCTCTGTCTCTCTGTATGAAGACGCTGTATGTAACCTACAGCACGGCGTTTCTAATTAAATTGTCGAGACTTTCATTTTCTTAAAATCAATGTAACATGCCCTCCATCTGGGTACATCACGGATTCATCACTGGTGTGTGTTTGTCATTTTGCTGCTGGGTTCTTCATTGCTTGAAGCCACTGAATGTACCGCGATGAGTTCAGAACAAAGACCAACTTTCAAAAACACGAGGGAAAATCCACTTCATAAGACCAGTCACAACGAAACCGTGTTCAAAACCACACCAATTTCGCAAAGGTTTCACGCACGTGTTTATAGTTTGACGAAATTCGTATATGCTCGCCTAGGGTGCATATGCAGAGTGCATTTTACCCGAATGACCAGACAGGTGATAAAGGACAGAGACGTGACGCACGTCACAGCGCGTCTGATGGTATACCGCTCGCTCACGCACAATGAATTACAGCGCCCGCGGCCATCGAGACAAAGCAAAGGACGGGAAAAATACGTGACACTCATGCCGGAGAAGATCAAAACAAACAGCAGGTGTGCTGATTGGCATCGTTTCCTCCTGGTGACATATGACGGTTGCCTAGCAACCTGGCGATGGTTGAACCTGTCTCCTTTTATTAGGAGAGGGGAGGGGTGCGTGTGATGGGGGAGGGTCAGACTACCCAATAGACAACGTAAACGGGAGGGGAGGGTGCGTGTGATGGGGGAGGGTCAGGCTACCCAATAGACAACGTAAACGGGAGGGGAGGGGTGCGTGTGATGGGGGAGGGTCAGACTACCCAACAGACAACGTAAGCACTCGGCCTGGGACCTACGAAAAATTAATAAAACGCTTGAATTTCAATGCATGGAAAGCTTCAGATTAGCTGGTTCAGTACAATTAACTGGAATTAGCATGGCATGCGAAGTTCCAGCGTTTCCTGTCAGCGCTGTGATATTAGTGCCCATAGGGACAATGGTACAGTGAATGCGGCCTATATGCTGATAAAGGGGAGGGAGGATTCGAGTACGTTTGATTGTCTTAAAAATCTTTAATTTTAGATTGAAGTTTTTGTGTTAGTTTTGTGGGGATGTCGGGGCGTGCTCTGGACACGGCAAACAGGATCTACGCCACAAATCTAACAGTGGAGCATGACACTGGGTTTGTTGGTCGTTTTGAAGTTTTATATCCGTCCCTTTTTACGTCACACTCGCAGTTTTTCCTATACCTGTGGTAAGACACCACGGATTGCCGTCAGTGAAAACGCTAAAAAATGATAAAGTGTTGAAAATCTCACGCAGCTATGTCAACACATCCAACAAAAAAATGCTTCTTCTAAATATTTAATCAATTATTACGGGAGTAAATTTCAATTTTGAGGCAAACCCTTGCTGCCAATTTTGGCCGCCCAGTCAAAAGATATAGGCAAAAAAGAAAGGTCTGGTGGCCTTGTTACGAGCACAAAATGTGTATCAAAAAGATGCCACATAAAAGCTGGTCCATAAATGTTACAAATGCAAAACGTCAAGCGCAATTTTCAAATAAAATAATGCAGGAGGTGACATATTTTCAACTTTTGCGAATTCGCAACGTCAGCCTTTTGTGATCACTAACTTTTCGTGCTGATAGCTGAGTGACCCCTTCGACTCGACGTTACAAATTCACATTCGCGCGCACTCGCGCCGAAATCGGCTCGTTGTCCGTCTCTATTGATATTCTGGCTTTCATTCATCTAGACTATGCTGTCTTTAACCATTTAACTTGAGATATCTTTCAAGCACAGCCTAACTATTCAAGTCTAGTGGGGCCATTCTCATCCTGCTGTGATATATTCATAGAAACGCATACTTGATATCCTCCTTCAAGTAGATGGGTCCGTTTAATGACTTTTCCCAAATGCGTCAAAGTTCCCCGCGACGAGGATCGAGGTGTAGCCAGGGCAGCGCCTTCCAGAGCGACCTCGCACATGTATGCACCAACCGAAGGGTACTTGCAATACTGACAAAATTATGAAAGATGAATGAGCCGGGAAATAACACGTATACTCTCTGTGCTTGCTATTAGATTGATCGTCGGGCGGAAGCGAGGTATGATCCCGCGGCAAGGCTGCGTGATCATTCCTAATAGCCCGGGCCGCAGCGCGGCCCTTGAAGACGGACACTGACTTCCTCTGGGTCCTTGGTGATTATCGCGCAAGTGCACAGCGCCCAGTTTAACTTGGCGTTTTAGAGGATGCTTTTCTCCTCGTGCAAGATGATGAATTCTACATGAGAGGTCCCAAATACCGTGGACGGCATGATAGCCAGGTATCTGCAGATGCACATCGCTTAAAGATTTATGTCGTCTTCACTCAATTCATCTTTATAAACATCCAACGTGTTTTTAGGGGCCGTCCACAAAGAAGGCCTACAATATACGCAGGGGGTGGTGCCGTTGCGTACACCATGCGTGAAGAGGGGAGGGAAGGGGGTTCAAGCCAGGGCGTACCGTACGCAAACCGAAAATTTGCTTGTAATGAATCTTTGTCATATCAATACACATTCAATACCAGAATCCTCCATCGTCCACTCTACCATTTATCCTCCCATGCCAACGCTAATTATTAGTAAACCGCAACATTACTCATGACACAAAGACCGGCAGTGTCCTGGAATTGTGGAATGCGTACAGGGTTGGAGCCGTGACTGCGTAAGCCACGCGCACAGGGTTGGAGCCGTGACTGCGAAAGCCACGCGCACAGGGGGAGGAGGGGTCTGGAAAGTGGGCATTTCGTGGGTACGTACTTTATGGACGGCCCCCTATGCATGTTTATGAAAGGACGGGAAAACCGGATTGAAACTAAGCCTACACCATTTCTGGGATGCACTCCTTTAACGTGAAAATTCTAAGTGGACGTTACACAGTAAATCCATTAAGTAATTTATAAGTTCCCAGGAGAATTAGAAATTCTGAGGTACCTTGCCATACGCACGTCAACACTTGCTCCAAGCGTTGCGTGTCCGTCATTCGCTCCCGGGGCGATTTGACAGCCGAAAGCAACGCACTCGTGTATTTTGTTAATGAAGTTGATTTTTGTGTTCGTGAAAGTGAAACGCATTGTCTACGCAACGCACCATAAAAACATAGACGTATATGGAAAGGCGCCTTAAGTATGTAACAATGATTTCTATAGAAGGGATTCAGCACTAACTGGCACACGCGTAATAACTAGGGTCGAAAATTTCCAGATTTCAATGGAAGCCTGGGGGCGCACTTACTTCAGAGGGCCAACCGGCGAAGTGCGGCTTATACATACGTTGTGTACGTCTCAAAGTTTTAACGGGGGGGGGACACGGACATGCGCTGTGGACACTTGCATGCCCCCTTTGTCCCCCATGGTTACGCCACTGCTAAGCGGCTCTAAAAGTTAGAGAATGTTTAATTTGAAATGTATGCTACTGCTAGCCTAGCCCCAGACTGGGGCCAGTCTACTGGACTACCTGGTCATCCAGTAGACTGGCACCTGTCTTAGCTGGGGCTACTGCCAGCCAAATCCAACTATTAAACTCGAACAGCACTTGCAAGGAGAATTGATCACCGCCGGAACAGCCAAAACTAGATTATGACTTGTAAGAAAAGGTTCTTGTCCGGGCTTTTCAAAAGGGATAGACATAAAGATATTTATTTTGTAAGAAAAACAAAACAATGACAAAAACAAAACACTCACACAAAAATACAAACCAATCCCAACCCAAAACCCGACCAGACTAGACGACAAAAAATAAAAACAAGCAGGCCCAATGACAAACTACTGTAACATTTCTTTTAACATTACCTTTGATCAACAAAGTGACCAGAAATTGATTGGGTAATACAGAAACTTCCTGCAGTTCGTGATTATAAAATAAATGTAGTCCACAAAATAAACTTCAATATCAAAATTTAATATTCAAGACATGCGAGTGGAAAATGTAACACTCTTCCACAACTTGTTCTTGTGTCAGTTCAAAGAAAGAATTTCATCGCACAACAGAGATCTCACAAACTCCGAATTGAGACAAATCTAGAGCAATTCAGTCATTCATATTTTCAGTTGCACAAAATAAAACAATGTAACATTTATTTACTCTGAGCAGGGAATGCAACGTTGCCATATTTCTGCCCTGATCAGTGCGTACCTGACTACCTCATTATTAAACAAGCCATGTGCAACAGTTGCTTCCCATTTGTACTGCAGGAAAACTGGAAACTCAGTTATATCTGTATATCAATTCACTACAGGTCCAGGGGCTGTCGAGATTTCTCACTGGAAAAAGTATCCCTAGAAACCTGATAACAGACATATACGTGTCAGTTTTCGTCTGACAACAAAACCTGAATGACTGTTAACATGTGCCAGATTAAGTTTGTGCGAGAGGTAATTTCCTAGCTGCAACAGACTTTGGTTCGATGCTTATGAATAGCTGAGACAATGCCAACTCTAGCAACTTTGGGCTCTTCTTGTACAGTTTGATTTGGTCAGGCCCATATTGAATCCATATTTGGTGCTCTGATGAGGTAAGGATGTCACTCGTTGGACAGAATACCCAAATGTCCTCACTCAACCAAATACATAATGGTAACCGATTCTGCCTTTCATTTTACAAAGTCATACAAGTATCTAATGACATCAAAGCCCACGGTCCTTGCGATGGAACGGATGAATTCCAGCGACACGGTGCACTTGTATTTCGGTGTGTCCAACTGGTCCTCATGTCCTACTTGTGCTAACAGCTGCAGGGTTACCAGTGAAGAAATCTGCGGGGAGAAAACCAGAACAGAGGGTCCATGTTAATAAGTTATCTTAGTCCAGCAATTCACCAGCACAGACATGACAGAGTGGTAAGTTCACAAGTGGAAAAATCTTAAGTATGTTTTAAATTGATGATTGTCAAGGTCAGGAAAGATGAGTTGATTTCAAGATGTAATTTTACGTTGGGGAGATGTTGAATTATATAACAGGTTTTGTCCTTACCCTTAACCGGACTAGCACTGAGCATATAGTGTTTATCAGTAGATATGTTGGGTAAGGGCAAAACCCGTTATATAAGATGAGTTGATTTGGGATGTGCTGCTCAAGGTTGGTATTTGAAGAGTTGAACACAGGTTGGTTGGATTGCATTTGGTTGAGCTGGCTGGAGCTAGATTGGCTTAGACTGACATGGGTTGGGCTTGGGTTGGGTGTAATTTGCACTGGTTCAACAGGATGGGCTTTGGGTCGATGGGGTTGACTAGGCAGGGTTAGGCTGGGTAGAGAAAGGTTGGGTTTGGTTAGGCTGGGTAAAGAAAGGTTGGGTATGGCTGATAAGCATGACTAGGCCGAGACGGACCAGGGTTGGGCTGTGCAGAGCTTGGCTGACCACAGCTAACTGAACTGGCCAAGGGGCTGGCCACATGGCCAGGCCAAGTTGGCCACTTACTGCACTGGACCAGGTTCAGTAGACTGGATAAGGTTTGGCAGTGTTGCAACTAGATGGGAGTGAATTAGATTCAATTAGATAGACAGGACAGTTGGGCTGACATCGGAAGGCAAGAGGGAGTTCTGTGGAAAGCAATAACTGTTACCTGTGAAAAGATGTTGGCTGTAGGGGCAACCCTTGAGTCCACTATGCTGTAAAATATGGCCATCAGTCTGTCAAGTGGGAATGCCCTCGGCCCAAGCAGCTGATGGCTGGTCTGTGAGGGAGATCACAGATGCAGAGGTTGAATTGCTAGCACTCTGAGTGCGAGGATTGGGAACATCATGACATTTGAATCCATTCCTAACCCTACCCCCTCGAACCTCAGATGCCAAGTCATGGTAGTTGTCACATTATCAAGACACACCTCATACATTTGTGAATTCTGACACAGGGTGGAATTAAAGTAAACCATAACAGCTTGTGAAGTCGAAATATTTGAATGTTGAAAATTACTTTCTATCTGACAAGGAAGAAGAAAGGCCTCCGAAGATTGGGGAATATTTTATAACAGAAACCAATGATCTAAGTCCAAGGATTGCTGATGAACATTTTGACAGGGACAGAACTGGCAATTTGAAGTCATTTCTTAACAGTTTGTTATGTTTTCTTCTTTGAATTATGGGGTTAGATTTCATTTAAGGGTACCCAGGTAGCCACGTTTTATCTCAATAGGGTACTCAGTTTGCATGTATATAGACATATACGCACAACACCAATCAGTGCCCTTTCGCTGTTTGGAATTGTTAATCAAAAATTTAACATTATCACTGCTGTGTAACACCTTTCAGTGTTTTGTAAACTCACTTCCTTCTTGCGATTCACGGCGCTCTTCTTCACCTTGCCGTGGTTCTTGGAGAAGAACCTGCGGTCATAGCGGGCCGGGTTGTAGGAGGCCAGATAGGCGGCAATCAGCAGGTACTTGGAGTAGAAGGGTAGCTCCATCTGGGCCCTGGCGGACAGGATGCCTGGCTGGGAGGTTTGCTGACCGGGCTGGCCGGTCTCGGCGCGCTGGAACTTCTCCCATTGCTCGCTGTCAAGAAGCAAGGGCAAGACCATTTTCAAAGGCTGTGAATTTTGAAGTTTATATTCTAAGTACACGTCAAGTAATAGGATCAGAGTATTTATGAAGCGCAGTGTCTAACGCTAATCTGTTTTGTGAAAGTGCCTATATATTATCAAGTATGCCTGCTCATTGGGCTAACAGCAACCAAATATTCTTGAAACCATTTCACCTCGCTGCAGAGTATACAACCCAATGCTGCCATTTCAGGCACAAATGGTTGAACCTAATAACCTTTTTCTGCCCTCATGGGTAGGGATTAGGTACCAATCTACTCCTGGGTGGAGGGAGGCACGTAGGAGAGAAGTGACTTTCAAAAGATCGTAAAATGTAACCGGCTGCTGGATTCGAAGCCCAAACCCTATGACTGGGTACTAAAATTGCTGACAAATACGCCACTGTGGTGTCTTATATCTGACAAATCTTTCTTATTCATCAGAGCTATGGTCACACTGGTACTGCCTGCAATTATTATATCACACAAGTTCGCAAAGTCAGGGCACATGTCAGGTTCTGACAGATAGGATGGTTCAAGTAGAGAATAGGCATCACAGACCAGTGTTTCATTTGAATAAAAACTAAGTTACTACATTAATAATCTGGTAAAACTTGACTGTGAAGAAAAACATTCTGTACAATCTGGTTACAGGTTCTTTAACAAGAAAGGATCTCAGATCACTAATGACAAAAGAGACTCAATCAAAACTAGTTTTCCTGTTCTAAAACTCCTTTTGGAAACGTCATCCAAGTGATCCCTCAAGAAAAAGAACTGTGCATACAAAATTCCCAAAATCGAACACCAGGCATTATTTCCTTTCCTTTCCTGACAGGTGGCTCCGATCGTTTGAGTTCATTCCAACTTTGGATCGGCAGTACCTTGTGACCTCCCTGAGATAGACCGTCTGCAGAGCTTTCTTCAGGTGCGGCTCGATGTTCCGCCACAGCTTGTGCGAGTCCTTCTCGGATGCTTCCCCCTTGGTGATGGGCTCAACATACTTTGGGAAGTTCAGCTGAGCCTGTTGACCGTACCATGATTCATTCAGTAATCCCCAAACGACACGGTTAATCTTTGTCTGAGCTTTGCACTCCATAATGTTCACCATCACTACCATTTAGTCAATACCTTCCCAGATCAATCAAAGTCCAACGTGGAAAAACCAGTGGAAGCCCATCCACTGATGAAATACTCACCAAGTGTCTAATCTCGTTCAGGTCACGGCACACCATGTAGAAGATACTCATGAGCAAGTTGACGTAGGACGAGTAGAACTCCACGGAGTAACCCTCAGGGCAGTCTGTGGCAATAATCTCCAATAACTCACCTGAAATTTATCAAACGAATGGGTGGAATTGAGTGTTGGTATTAACCAACCCCCCCACTTGCCACGTTCCTTTTGGACTACACAGCATGTATGCATCCTTAAAAATGTTAAATGTCACCAGGACAGAAATCTGCCTCCGAATATTTGCCTCATCTCACACGTTTAAAATCTCTCCCTGTTCCTTAACATAGGATGATGGGTTGTCTTCACCTCAGACATGAATAAAGATGGGAGAGGGGACCCAAATGAAACCCCACTTTGTTTGACAGTCTACTCTGAAATGAAAATGGACGGGATGTGCATGCCGAAGTAACTCTTTGTATTTACCAGGACAGGGCCTCTGAACTATCCTGCACTTTGCCATCCAAAGGGAAACTCAGTCCTTTGACATGAGTTGTGCTGGGGCTCCTATTGAACCCATGGTGTATATGGGGGAGGGGAGATGGACTGCTCCTTATCCCTCCTATTGCCTTTCTTACTCTCAACTTGTAATGTGGAGGCAGGAACCAGGCAGGGAGCCCCAACATTTGTATTACAAAAACAACAAAAGTGGTCGGGGGAGTGTTTTCGCAACAGTGTACTGAAACACGTTTCTGCTTTGGCCATTGGTTTGAGCATCTTTCTGACCTCAGCTCAGCCTCTGTGACCTCAAACTGAACTGAAGGTTGGAGCCAGTTCACTGCCTTTTCAAAATGGCAGAAAATAAGAAGACAATTTTCTGTTGTCTCCAAAATCAGTGAATTAGATATCCCCGAATTTGTTGCTGCAGGCAACGAACCAAAGTGGGTACCCAACATTGAGAAAATGACGTAAGCCAGTAATGGTGTCTGCTACCTTGTACCCTGTTTCTCTTGAAATATGCCACTGTTTAACAGTCTTTATTTTTGCACGCCATCTTAGAGTGTTTTCGAAACAAGTGGATTTGGTTTGCTGGTTCCAGCCATTTAGAAGAAGCGTTCGGAACCACAAGCTCCGACTTGAACCAGCGATACCGAAGTCTATGACAAATCCACTCGTTTCGAAAACGCTCTTAAAAATTTTCCAGGTTACTATGTAACGTCATAAACATGTTTCTGGTTAGGGGTCTAAAAACACGCCCCTGGGCTGACTTAAAGTAACCACTCACATATGACACTCATATGGTCTGACTTTTAGACAGGCACGTTCCTCACTTTTTTCTACTCACCCTTTGTGTAATCTGGGAAGTGGATGATGAAGGGCTCCACATGATTGGAGCCGAACCCAAAGAGGAATTTCTCCCAGACAATCTGGCTGAGGAGGAGAACGCACACGTTGCACCCGGACAACTGGGAAAGGTTGAGGAAGGCCGGCAGAATGTTGCCGTCCATGTTGCGAAGACGCTCAGCTTTGTCCAGTACCTGGGAAGGTGGCAAGATTTCGTGCAAGCAAACTTACGCATATTTTAAAGATAGAGTCTATCATTTGCAGTTATCCCAAAAGTACCTGACAAAAATTATAAATGACAGCATACTTGGTTGATAGATGGCTATGGGACTAATCTCCCTGTGAAATAAGTCTTTCTGGCAAGCTGTCATTTAGAATATAACAATGAGAGATGGCCACTTCCAGCGATGTGTCTAAAGATGCATGAAAATTGCCATCAGATGTTCACAAACGTTGACATAACGCACATGCACATGTTTTTACTATAAATTGTCTGCATGTTCAGTGAGTGATATCATGAAGCTGTATTTGACTGAGCATGGGAACGTGTCGCAGATGCCGAATTCAGGCAAAACTGATACTGCACGGCTGAAAAATATGACACTAAAGACATCAAGGTAAGACTCACAATATAAACAGTTTGATTTTGTATTCCCCTGTCCTCGGTGGTCTTCTTCAAGAGTCGCACAAACGTGTTCATGTTCTCACAACGGTTCAAGCTACAGTAGTTGTTCTCGGGACTGGGCTCGTGATTGGCCACCCGGTCCAGGATTCTGTCCAATAGCTGCCGTGTCGTCTGGCACTCTATGCAGTTGACGAAGGCGTGGGGGAGAGCCAACGTCTTGAGGAGTGTGGAAACAACAAGCGTTTTACCGGTTGCGGCGTGCCCGTATATGAACACAGACGGGTAGGTAGGATGGGACGGCTGCAGAAATTTAAAACATCAAAATACCTAGCTAAGGCGTTTTGAGGGTAATTTAGACACTGTTTTCCCTGTCTAAATAAGTTCTGAATAGAGGCTGAAGCCCTTGATCTGAAGAGTACAAAACTAGCAGTGACACCCAACAGAAGTTTCTGCTCAACTCTAACTGATCTACAGAAAGACCTCTTACGGAATGGCCGTAGAATATGTACACATGGAAGGGGGGGAGGGTTGATCTGAGGGGAATCTGAGGTGACGCACACATACAAGTATGCAGAGCAATAAGTTGTTTTTGACTGACAAAAAAATGCCCTTTCTCCTATTTCTATCAACTGGGACCAACTTCTATGAATCGAAAATGGTTATAATATGTCATCTTGCACCCCATGCTAAGCATTACCAGCACTGGTCAGTCTGATAGGTCAAAGGGTATAAGAATGGGGGGTTGGAGCCACTGTACACCATGGGGCGGGGGCTAAAAAGTCAACACTTCGTGCATATATACTTAACAAATAGCCTCCTTAAGAATCCCAGTGACCACACCCACCTCTCCCATAAGACTACGTAGCAATGCTATCTGTTTCTGCCGACATAATATGCTGAGTGGGTCTTCCATTTCTGACGCTGTGGTACCCTCCATCGTGAGTTCTCTTCAAAACCTGCAAAAGTGGATACAGGATTTTTACTTGTTATGGAACAGGAAATACGTCCATGGCTGCAAATCATTCACAATGATTTTATAACCAAGTGATGAAAAACTATTCATATTCTGCCATTGAAAGACTCTCCCAATTTTCCTAAAGAGGTTTCCTAACAAATGCCTGTCCCTTTGTGAAGGTGGGGCCCAACTTTGTGGTTGTAATTTGAGGTTTACACAGCCCGCCAGCCGGTAGGGAAGCTACTATTCCTGCAGTGTGGCTTTCGTCGTCATGAGTTTACATTACAAAAACTGCCCTCCCAAAATGACAGCAAACTGTCCCAGTACATGTAAGCACTCTATAAATGCAAAACACCACAAGCAACGAGCAAATTCTAAATACATGTTTGCTATGTATAATATAAGGGTAACTGGTTAGACTGTATGATTAGTCGCACTGCCAACCAATCTGACGATTTTGCTGACTGCCTTGTGGAAAACAGTAGTCCAAGGTTTCCTCCACAGCAAAAAGCACAGTGCATGCAAGCTGCAATCAATTAACCATGCAGATCAACCGATCGTATGTGGCCTTCATTTCTCTAACTTGAAACTGACTGAAGAATTCAAATAATAAATGGACACGAGTGACTCTTTATTAGCTCCTAATGATCGATCATGAAGCTTAGCTGATGCTTTCATACCCGGCGCGCGTTAATTACGTCACCACAATGCAGGAAATTCTGCAAGTCATGATCACGATGGGTCCGGACGGCATAATCATGCGCGCGCCCAGCACACCATGTGCATTGCACCTGCCCCTTTGTTCACTTGACGAAATACGAAATGAATCCCATTCGCGAATGTACATGGGGAGACAGTGAACGCAGTTCATTTAGCCAGTTTGTAGAATAGTTGCGCAACCGGGATCTGATATTTGGGGGGGGGGATTTACCCCCCAAAATAGTTCATAGTGCTCACGCTTCCTCCCCTAGTTGCTTCACAGGGGCTAGGATTTACGGTAATATCAGAACTATTAGTTTAAAATGCATGGTGTATCGTGAGGAATATTTTTTTTATTCCTCCGTCACGTGATACAAATAAGTTCCCCCAAATCATGTTATGCTGCATTGTTGCTTGTTTAATCGTAAATCTGGGAGCAAGCTGTAGATGGATTTATTCCTCCATAAATCAACTTGTCATCGTTTCAGGTAAAAAATATATAAATAACCCGAAATGCCATGTCACTTTGAATTGGTCCAGTTCCGTAAATGGTCTAAACGGTTCCGCTCTTTCAGGCTGCATGTTCTAATTGGGACATGAGAAACTTTCTGACAGACATTAACCACAGGACAGTTCTGGAGCGAGCTCAAGGTCTCTGGATGTGAGCTGCGCTGAGATCCTGGCCGATCCCGATGACATCGACACGGTGCCGGCTAGGCGCGCGGCGCGCTATGCTACATTAAATTGTGTAAGTTGTGACAGTCATGTGGAGCGCCCAACGTGCCTGAAAGTTGATTCTCTTGCGTTTTTGGCCAACAAAATTTCGGACCGTTGAAAGGTGAGCAGAACCATGGAGGTAGAAATAGGCAGATGTGCTGGCGTTAATAGGCTAGGCTTAAACGTTTAATTTTTAGAGACTGTATCTTCAAATTAAACCATGTTCCAGTGTAGGCCTACATACCAGTATCTGGATGTGTACTAGCCCAGGTTGGACGACGTATACGTTAGTCGAGACGTCGTCTAACCAAGGCTAGATGTGTACATGTACTAGTACTAGTCTATGTAGTGGTAGACAAATGGCCTCCTGCGCTGGAAAGTTGTCAATAAAAAAGTAGGCATTGTTTTCATCAATAAATGGCAGTCAGTAGTACCTGACGATGCCTGACAATGCCCGAGTACGCTGTATGTACCGGTAGGTCAGACATTTTTTGCATTTTTAAGGGTAGCCTACATATAACTTGAAAAAACTTTGCAGGAGTCAGTCAGCATGGTTACTTTGTATCTTCAAGTTCTATTTTAGAATTCTACTCTGCAAAGTTATCTGAAAATTTTCATGTATAATTTAGAGTATGTGTTCCTACCTCTGTCATGTCTGTACATATACTCGTATATGGCTAACATATGTAACAAATTAAAGACTGACTGACTGAAATTTTTCTCTTGCACCTGTAAATCCTTGGGACCAAACTTCACTCTAGTCAATGGGTCGATAACAATTTGCTGCTTTGAATACCTGGCTTTGAATTCAACTTTGCTTTGTTTTCTTTTGGTTTTTTGCTCCACAAGCAAATCTTCATTTGGTGTAATGGCTACACATGAGTGTGGGTTTTTAATTTAAAATGAGGTATCAACTTTTACCTGGACGTGCAAAGGCATGCTTTTTCCCCTCCGGGGCCTGTCCCAAATAGTCTGTATTCTTGATTGTACCATGTGATTCTACCTCCATGATTGTACAAGTACAAGTTTTGGGCAGTTCTTTCTTTTAGGACATCTACATTTTTTGTTTCGCACAATTTTTTGTAAAAACTTCTCACAAGGTGTGTGTATATTGACAGACCAAAGTTATCTTTGCAGCATTTAGAAGGCTTCCTTGTACACAGCGGATGGATTGAGTAAGTCATTATGGGAGAAGATGTATACATGTTGGAAAATGTGTGGAATTCTTACATATAATGGCAGTTGAAGATACTGTATATCTGTTACATGTATGGTAGTGGGGTCCTTGAAGTAAGGATGGCCAGTTTTGGTGTGTAAAGAAACTCATATTCCAACTTTTCAAGTTTTACCCTGACTAGAAGGAGGAACTGATTCATTCATAAGGGGACTCCACAGAGAGCATTTGATGCAAGATATGGGACAGAGAGAACCCCTCCCCCCATTTGTGTTAGTCATTGTGTGACTGGAATCTCAAGAATTCTTTTCAGACATCTAGATAGGATGTGTTAGGTATCATGTTAGGTAACAATAGTCAAAAGTGTCTACGGATTTGTACATGTGGGGGGTACCCCTCCGTCCCATGTTTTGCTGGGCATAATGGAGAGTTTCAGTGAAAGTGCAAATCTGTTATGAATCTGCAAGTAAAACTTGTGCCTTTTAAAAAGAATGTAAGTGATTTGTGAATCTTGCAACATTATGGAAATATGCATTATACGAATAATACAACACATGTACGTACATGTGCATGTATATCGCTTGTCACGGAAGTGAAAAAAGTGAAATTATGCTCTCCAATATCATTGACAGAAACTGTTAAAAAATATGACTGGATAACATTAATTTTAGCCCCGTGTCTGGGCTCACAGAAAAAACAATATGCCATACATGTATGTCCATTTATCAAACCGTCTAGTTACATTTTATGGCAAGCACAGCTGTGATACTGGTACATAATTTTTGCCTGTCTCAATTTCCAACCCAAAAAAACATTACTGAGGGAATTATTATAATTGCCGAGTGGGCCAATCTCGAGGGAAATGGATGCTCACTAATAATGTCCTGAGCCGAAGTCAAGGTACAATGTACTAAGTACCGGTAATTATCAGTGTCTAGTCTCTTGAGCCTGTCTGAAACTAGTATTAAGATCGGGCAAACACATTTATTCCTATTCATCATGCCTTCCAAGTCAGAAAGTCAAAAAGAGTTTGTAAAACATATTACATGTAAATTTCCAGTGTTTTAACAATGCTACTTACATTTCAACCTTCAAGGCACGTTATGGAATGCGCTCCCCTATGAGCCGGCGCTTTACCTAGCATTTAAGACTGGCCATGTATCATGGGCTCTGGACCAATAGGAATGTATTTACAAATAAAGATTTCTTCTGGTTAGGGTTTACACACATGTACATTTAGGGTAGTTTTGGTAGGTACATGTACAACATAAACAGGGACAGACAGGAAATTGGAATGTGCAATTGTCATATTGTACATGCAGGTGTGAAGCAAATGTACCGACCACTGGTATGTATGTGTGTTTGTTGTTCGAGTGTTGTCACACACAAGTCTTGTAAGGTACATGTATATGCAGTGCAAGGAGTATTCTGGGATCAAACACTCCACAATCAGTTGTGCACATAGTACAGAGTCATTGCCGCTTGTGGTAAAGCCCTTCAGGTGGGATGGTAGCATTTTTTTGGGGGGGGGAACAAAATTGCCAGAAAGTGGCTGTGTAAATAAAGGTGTGCAGCTTTGAAAGAGAGGTTATGTAATCTAAAGAAACAGGATTAGAATTGCCTTACAACATCACCTGGACTCTCTGCATACTGTACCTTACTGACTGCAAGTGGTTGACATCATTGGATGCGTAGAGTACAGGTACGGTACATGTATGTGTACTACATGTATGTACACCTGTTATTTTTCAGGTACATGTAACATATGTACAGTATATGCTCATGTATGCAGAAAAAAATAGTTGTGACTCATCTCCTGACTGAAAGCAACTGAGAAGTGAAAATAAGAACATGTACATGTAGGTGTCATGTGCATTTTTTTTATTCCAGCCTGACAGTGCATAAAATTGTGCTTGGAGTTCAGCATCTCACCATTGTCAGAGGGGCATTTAGGAGTCTTTTGTGTTTCGTGTTGGTGCAGTGTACCAGTACATGTACATGTATGTACATGTAGTTTTTGTTGTTACAATGTACAGTAGTGTGTACCGGCACTGCATCAGCATTCAGCAGTAAAGTTACTGCATATGCATGTACATGTCTGGCCTATTTGTTTCAAATTGAAGGCCAGCTTTCTACAGGTTGTACCAGCTTCCTATCTCATGTACAACCTTGCTTTTTTTTGGCCATGTTTGTTTAACACGGATTCGGATCACGATCAGTGATCCATCATTAGTTTACGTACACCAAAACCTGCATAGTGCATGGTGTGAACCAGCGTTAGGATCACTGATCGAGATCCAGATCTGTTTGAAACAAACAGGTCATGTGAGGATGTGCATGTCTGTACCGGTATGTGGTTTGGCAGAAATAAGAAGAAAAGAAAAGAATAGCAACTATACCGTAGCTCAGCTGTCCGTTGGCCAACAGAACAGAGGGCTTTTTCACATTCCTTGGTTAATTTGAACTACCAATCTACTACACAAACCTGATGGCATAATTATTTCATCATGACCGTTTGGGTCCAAGGTTTCAACCCAATCAGGCATGCACTACAGGAAATAACTTGTTTTAAATAAAATGTAATTTGACTCCTCATTTCATGTCATCATCACATCAGGTAAATTTTTGTCCTTTCCTTGATATCTGCAAAGTTTCAAATTGATGGAATGTGGACTCCAGGAGATGTGGGGCTTTAAACAGTGCACCTTTAACGTCGTGACTCGTTTGCTGATGATATTGTCATCACCTGAGGTCAATCTCCGTTTATAAACCTTCCCTTCCTAACTATCTGCAAGGTTTCAACCCAATCAAACATGTGTAATACAAAATACAATACACAACATTGTTATCGCAGAAAAAGCACAGATTAGAGATTTTAAACTTTTGTCCCTTTTGGCATTCCATACAATGCGATCTGCTCTCCGCACCATGCGCTCGGCATTTTGCCAGGTCTTGAGTGTGCCCTACGCACTGTGTGCTGCCTGCCTCACGTTACAGGCAGATATTGCACATCCACGCACACAGCAGCCAATGTACAGTATGCGAAACAGATTTTCGAGTTCACAAATATTGTAATGCTCTATGTGAAGAAGTACACCACTTATGCACTTCATGCAGTTGACTTCAATGTTTTAGCTATCATCTAATGAACAATATATGCTTAAATCTGTTATGGTTGATCGTTTACTGAATTTTGAAGAATAAAAAAACTTTTTATCGTAACTTCCAATCTGATGACGTCATTGGCCCTAAATTTCACACATGTGTTGACTGGGTGAAGATCATCATACATGTCAATTTTCAGGCGATTCGGACAAACTTTGCCACAGACATCTACTCCAAATTCATTTTTCAGTATTTTCAACCTGTCGCTAGAGGGCGCTTGACAATCACATGACATCATCTGTAGGTGATTTGAAGAATACTATATCCCCATCGACTAACATCGTTGAAAACAAGTTGATACCTACACTGTACATGTATTACCACTTTTAAACAATAAGCCCACTTCTGGTTTTGACCGGAAGGAAGGGTCAAGTGATTTGACCCACAGGAGATAAAATGAAGACCCAATTTTAACTTGGCATGTGCCGCAAGCAGAATGTTGCTGGAAGCCGCGGTTGATTTTTATATAGATTTTGAAATAATTAACGTAATATTTAAATATAACAAATTTAATGATAAATCACTTAATGACATCATCATGATGTAATTATGTGAGTATTATCTTTGTTTCCAGGGCTTTCCTTGGTGTAACTTTGTTGAATTTGAATATTGCTGAACAACCAAAATGTTTTCTTGAAAATGTGTACAAAGTCAATGGACTGAAATAAATATTGAAAAATCAATAATAAATTACTTGATGACATGGTCATGACGTTATGTTTCTAGACACGTCTGTGCAAAAGGGTCCTTCATTGGTACAAGTTTGATGAAGATACAAAGTTGCAAAAGCACTAAAGTTGTGTACAGAATAAACGTGCACAAACCAAATGGACTTTTGCGCAGAAGAAGAAGAGGGAAGAAGGAAAAAAAACAGGACAAAAAGAATGTCTTTTTCGCAAAGTTGCAAAAAAGCCAAGAATGGTGTGCAAGTGTACATTGTATGGGCACGTTGTGTCAAATTTATCGTATGCTTTCAAGCAATATTTTCATGATGAAAAGGTTACGTACATGTACATGTATTTGCTGTTTCAGTTACATGTGGACTGAAAAGGCCACAGTCCAATCAGCCCCCTAGGTATTTTAGTAAGGAACGTGTGTGAATCCTTCAAAAGTTGTCCGCTTTACTACAGGGCAAACCAGTGACACACTCCTCATGTTTAAACTCTCAAAAAGTGGCAAGAAGCCCCGTACAGCACCATTTGGGCTCACATTTGCTGGTTTGTGCCTTCTTCCATCTATCAAACACCGGCATTTCAAACCCTCTGGGAAGTTTCACTATCTCCCTCCCCATTCACTATCCTGGCAATCGTATAAAAAAATTCTTAAGACCATATTTAATTCTCAGACCTGTGCAGCCCTGATCGTCTTTTGTTTGCGTTTGTTGAAGGACATGGTTGAGTAACTCATCTTGTACATGTATCCACAGGGTCGGCATGGACCAGGTGCTTGGAAAGTTCAACTGGTACTGCGGAGTCAACAACACCGAGACTCTGGATAATTTGACCTTTGACCTGAACCACACCCTGTACAATGCCTGCTTTGTGGATCTGGCTTACACCCTGCCACACCTCATCTTCATCGTCTTGGGCGTCCTGGTTCTCTTCATCCTGGGATGCTGCACCCGCATCCGGAAGGAGCGCCACTGGTACCTCATCCAGTACCCAGGCCACAACTGCCGCTGGGTGATCAACTTCATCTTCTTCTCCTTGCTACTCTGCCAGATCGCCGAAGGCATCCTGAATGAGCTGGAGGTCTACAACGGACAGCCCACCAGGCCACACCTGTACGTCCCCGCAGTGCTGGTCTTCGTGGGCACCATCCTGGCCATGTTCTACTACAACCAGATGGAGACCTGGAATCGCCGGCACATGGCCTGGCTGCTGCTGGTATACTGGGCGCTGGCCCTGGGAGGCGAGGTGACACGACTCCTGAATTTCCTGCATGATCTGGGGGTGGATCTCACCATATTACGGGTTGATCTCAACCTGGCAGCTATTGCCATTTACAGCCTGTTCCTTCTGCTGGAGCTAAATGTCATCCGAGTAAAGGTACATACATGTACAATATAAGCTGTATTTAGGAAATTGTACTTTCAGGGAGCAATTCAGTAATTGTCATCCTGTAGGACTTAAACTTGGTATTGGGACTCAATTTTGGGAAAAGCTACCTTAGTAAGTATGGGCAAATTATAGAAATTACATGTATGGACATGTAAGTTGCAAATTAATGTACATGATGTACCGGTATGTAAGATTACCAGCTAAAATGCCATGTATCAGTACGTGTACATGTGTGTTGTTTTTGGCTTGCTCTCGTCTGTGTTTTCTGCCTAAGTTCCATGAAAGTCAGTCCCAAGCTCAAAAGTATTGGATGACACCTAGTGATCAAATTATTGATAAGATGCATGAAAATGGAAAAGAAAGCCTATGAGCCTGGGCCCACATAGGCCTGGCAGCTGTACATTGTCATATTGGCCCACATGGAGTAGACAGTTGTCTTGGCCCATAGGGACCAGATAGCCATATATATTGGACCACATGAGCCAGGCATCTATACATGTATATTGGCCCACATGGGCTAGACAGTTGTGTAGGCCCACATGGACCAGGGAGCTGTCTAGTCTTGGCTCATAAGGGCCAATGAGGGAAACACTCCACAAGAGAGAGAGGCAAGGTTTCCACTGCCTTTTCGTTGTGGACATTTCAACTCCTTTCCCAGTTTATCTTTTTAATCCCTTTACCAAACAATTACTGATAATCAGTAGTCAAACACAAACAAACTAGAGCTTGCCTGCCACTGCTTTCGGTCACTGAAGCATAAAATTGTAACTAGGCTCAGTGTTGCTGTGGTCTTTTTCCCCCAGAGTTGAAGTTCCTAGAGTGGTATCACAAAATGCAAAGCCCTGATTTATGTAGTTTCGTTACAATTTTAACTCATAAGGTGATCACTGGTTATGTCGGTAACTTACTCAGAAAGATAAAGAATTACGATTAACAAAGTAAACCACTAGCCTCTGAATCTTGTTGACACAAGATAAACAGTGGAAACTAATAAAAAAATCTGAAAAGGCAGTGCTTTCTCAGAGTTAGAGTTGTCTTCTGGCCCATGTTGGCCAAGCAGAGCTCTGTCTTTTGGGCTGGTACATATGCCAGGCAACTCTATATTGGCCTACATGGGCCAGACTGCTGTATATTGGACCACATGATCCAGGCAGCTGTACATGTATATTGGCCTACATGTACATGGGTCCACATGCACCTGTACCAGGCAGCTGTCTTGGCCCACATGAGTTAGACAGCTGTCTTTTGGCCACATGGGCCAGACAGTTGTCTTTTGGCCCATACTGAACCAGGCAGGTGTCTTTTGGCACACATGGACCAGGCAGCTGTCATTTGGACCACGTGGGCCAGGCAGCTGTCTTATGGCAATCTCCATCGTCTTTTCTAATGAGACTGCATTTTAGATTTTGCTTTGTGAGTCCACCTTTACTTTATACGTGTAGAACTCTCTTAAATGGGAAGGAGCCTCTGTTATAATTAAAGGTACGGTACATGTGCACATAGCTTCTGTTTGGAATCTACATGTGTATTTTTTAAGCCACAATTTGAAGTTACTATTATAGCACAAGGATGACGATCAATAAGTTGCCCGTATGAAGTCATCTCTGTTCTCTCACATTTTGAAGCTTTAAGAAACTATTCACAGTAGCTGCCTGACTATTTAAGATGGCAGACCTTTGCATAAGGGTGCCACCAAGCAAATGTACATTTCCAAAGTCACTGGTGATAAATCCCCGTACATTCTTCTTTGAAAAACTTACTCTTAACTCTCACAGGTGTTCAGGCTACAAGGAAATATGATGATAAACACGTCACCTTTCATTTTCCTTTCAAAATTTGGCAGGTTGACCTGTGACTTTTTTGGAGAGATTCTCTCTCCCAGTTCCCAAAGCAGACCACCCCGAAAATGAATGGTGTATCCCAAACTGGAAATCAGCCATTTTGATGAAAGATCCCTCCACAACATGGCTAGTGCCACTCTCGGACCCAGTTGCATTCCAAACTGCTCAGAATTGGAAGCCCTAAGTCCAGGCCAGAGGTCCATTGCCATATTTCTCAAGTCTCCAATTCCATGGCTCTCAGAACTCTCCGATATCAATGTTCATGTAGTATATTTTGAGTGTATCTACTTTTATCCACAGACCCTGCAGATGTATTTTTGGCCTATTTATTTGGTTGCCAATTGAAAAACTAATGCACTGGCACGCAGTTTGCTGAGACATTCATGTTTTTATAACATGTATTGGTACACTTATATACATGTAGGTCCATAAGCCTAGAGTTTAGCACTTAAAGACCGTACATGTACATGTAGTTTTGGACATCGGGGACAGGCAATCTGTCGGCTACATTGCAAATGATGGCACATAGATACATTGTGCATGGAAGCTTGTTAGATAGTATTACTGTGGGCATCAGCACAAGGAATGATTTTTCTATGGCAAGTCTTTATATTTTCATTTTAACACAAGGACAACTCAAACTCTCTGTTTCTCGAATGTTTGTCAAGTGTCAGAATATTATTCTGTATCGGACAAGAGATTGATACCCCGCCCTTTTTTAGTGTGTCACGCCGAAGTGTCAAAGTCTGAGTTCACAAAACAAACTGTTGTGACGATTGTGCCATCAGCAAATGTTGAAACTTCGAGTCTAAATAGGGAAACACGTTTTGCATCCAGGACAGTGAATTCTGACAAAGTAAATAGCAAATTGACCTTTTATATAAAGCCTTACCATACACTTCTGGGACTTTCCGTTCTTGAGCATTTTTATGTACATGTACATTGTATGAAATTTGAGAGTGGTTGGTAAAAGGAATGAAGCTCTGGTGGACTCCATGAAGTGACTTGGAAAGTTCAAAAAGACATCAGTGATTTCAGCAATCGATATACATCATAATTTTGTCTGCTGTGATGGGGTGCCAACCCTGGTACCGGTACATGTGTTTGTATTAAGTTCCAAAATAACAAGGCAAACTGCTTTAGTCATGCCAGTCAGATCTGTTGTGGCTGCTGCACCCAGCATCGCTGGTTAAAGACAAACAATAGCGTGTCCAACACCTTCACACTGGGTACATCCTTGCGAGAAGGATTTCTCACTTAATGTTACAAGGTTGTTTGTTGAATAAAAACACAATATGATTTTCTGTTAGCCTTTGTATTTTTGGTGAATAGAACCTAAATTTTAAAAATATAAAAAAGCTCCTAACACGAGTGACCCATACATGTTCATGTACAGGTACATGTGGTTATTTGAATGACATATTGGTTCACCTATTAACCCTAACCGCCTTGGCTCTTTTGGCTAGGATACACCCTCTTTCCTTCAAAGTCCTCCAACTACCCTATGAAAAAATTGGATACCGCCTCAGTTCTCCATAATCCTCCAATATTTCTTAAATTTGTTCTGTGGAAAGGTGCCCACGGCCTCAATCCTTCAAAATCCTCTGGCAAGTCCTCTCTTTATGTTGAGGCAGTGCGAATGGTATTCTGGAGCATTAGGGGAGTTTTCACATAATGTGGGCATGAGTTTATGCATGGCTGAACATAAACAACACAAGGCCTTACCTACATAATCTTGTGGCATTGCATCCTTCACAATCAACAATGCAATTTTGCCGTGCAGTCTCACTCCTCAAAAATCCTCCAAAACCGCCTGGAGGATTTTGAAGGATTGAGGATGGTTAGGGTTAACCCTAAGCCGGTTATGCCAAAGTTTGTGGGTTTTTTTTTTAATGCTTGGTAAATCCACTAGCCTTTAATTCCAGTACCGTACAGGCTCAGTTCAAGTAGTAAACTAAAGTCACATTTTAACCCTAACACTTCTCAGTCCTCCAACAGGTGAAGGATTGAGGAGTGTTGGGGTTAATCTTACTTAATCATTGCTCTGCAGTGCTTGTCAATATTGGTATATGTACAATACACGTACATGAAGAAGTACGTGTGAATACACGCACATGGCATGGCCTGTGTTAGATGCCAAAGGTCAAAAACTTATGGAAATAGTTCATGTACATTCATACAATGGAAGTGTCCAAATCGGTAAATAGTTTTCCTTTCTGCTGCTTTTTCAAGATCTTCAAGTGTTGCTGTGAAGAGGAGAAGTTTCCAGAGGACTTGAAGAAGGACGACATGCATTATCTGCAGGGCTACACCAGCCTGCTGTCGTCGGCATTCTACTGGTGGCTGAACTGGATCTTCAAGAAGGGCTACAAGCAAGCTCTAGAGATGTCAGACCTTGGCAGCCTGTCCGAGATACACACCACCAAGTACCAGAGGGACACCTTCACCAGAGCCCTCAAGAAGGAGCAGGTACAAGCATCATGCCAGATAGGGGTCAAGTAGACAAATTCCTACCACTAAGCCTCTAAAGATACCAAAATTCTAGAATCGGCATGGATAACAATTGTGCCTCATATGTAAAGTGGCTCCGGGAGCAGGACTAGTGGAGCACCGTATGGTTGAGTATGCCCCTGTAAGTTTTCATATGGTCAAAAATGTGAGGAAAAAAACCCTAGCAGTTTATTGAAGATGCCAGGAAGACGTGTACGTGTACTGCTCACCGAGCAAAGCCCAGTATTTGAAACTTCCAGGCGGAGTTAATTTCTTCTCAGCTGCGATATAGTTTTACCAAAAGAGCCCCTTATGAAGTTGCTGTGAGTCAAAGTCTTGATTTTCACCTTCTTCCACTGGTTGACCCCAGGAGAGAGCCAAGGCAAACAAGACATCGCTCAGCCTCTACCGTGTCTACGCCCGAGCCTTTGGCTTCCGCATCCTTGTCGGGGGCTTTGTCAAGTTCTTCGGCGATGCGGCCACCTTCATACCACCCCTGGCACTGGCAGGAGCCATCAACTACGTCACCAAAATATTCTACAAAACACCGGAGGAGGAGTACATACGGGTAAGTTTGGAATGAAGCTATTGAACGCCGCTCGCTTGATGGAAATATCATTTAGCAGATGGTTCACAGTAGCATTTTGTCTTCTAAGTTCTAGTGTAGTCCAAATGACTAATATTCTCTGTGAGAAACCATTGATGATTCATGAGGGAAACACTCCACTAGATAGGCAAGGTTTCCACTGCCTTTGTGTTGTTGAAGGTTCGACACCTTTCCCAGCTTGTTATCTTCTTAACCACTCCTTGCGGGGCGACCCGTTTTCGAGTACATAGGCTTTATATGCAGAGCCGGGGAGCCCGGAACTGGGACAAAAGCATTGGGCCTTATAACAAAAGACCGTGCTCAGCACAAAAGACTGAGCTGCTGGGCATTAGCGTCATTTTTTCACTCTCAATAGAGGAGATAATCCAGTCTTGTTTTTAAACAGTATACCATGGTTTGAGGCATTTAGAGCGAGTGGATTACCACCAGGGACAAAAACTCCCACCACCGCAGTGATGAGCCACACAGCACCGCTGCACGCCAATCTGGCCCCTATTGAAAAGAGGTCAGCAGTGCACTGTGCCGGTTTCGGGAACAAAAGAATCTTACGTAACACCGCACAATCTGGGCTCTTTTCCCAAGGCTGCAGGCCTGGCTGAAATATTCAGGAGTCGATGAATTTTACCTGTCAGCTTCAGAGTAGTGCCCAAAGAGTCCTTCATTTTGGCATAAACGGCCATTAAATGAAATGATGAATTTTTGAAGAATTTTGAAAACGGAAAATCTTGAAAATGAGCTGGCATCTTGTCTTGCTCAAGAAAAATCCACCTGGCAGCAAGTGGTTAATCCCTTCACCAATCAATAACTGGTAATCCATAATCAAACACCAACAAACAGGGGTTTGCCTGCCTCTGCTTTCAAGCACTGAAGCATGCAATTGAAAAGTGGTAACAAAAGACGCAAAACCTTAGTAGTTTCTTTACAGTTCAAACTCATATTTCTTGAAGTTGATCGCTGGTTAAAATTCACTCAAAAATATAAAAATTAAGACCAAAAAAGAATTAAACCACTGGTCTCTTAAGCTTGTTGACACAAGATGTCACCTGCTTGTGAAGGCTGTACCCCAGGTACATGTACAAGTTGTTTTGTACACGCTGTTGCTTTGCACCAGCTTCTGGTCACCTTTCAAAGGAACTTCAAAACTCCACTAGAAGATATGTGCATAAGTCTGCCCCCCCCCCAAAAAAACCCTTGTATACTAGACGAGGCTCAATAATTATGGGAATTGTAACTGAAGACATTTGGGCGTCATTGAAATATCTGAAACGTCCTCAGTGTGCTCTTCCGGACACTTTTTCAGGGCGAGTACGTCTCGGTGCAGGAGTTTCTGAGTAACGGCTTTGTGCTGATCATCATCATGTTCTGGTCCAACATTGTCAAGCTGCTGTCTCAGCAGGGTCACTACCACATTGTCATCACGGAGTCGGCTCACCTGAAGTCCTCCATGCAGGTAGGGAATTGGGCCTGCCCTCCCCTCCTTCCAAGTTAAACGTAGGCTAAGAGCCATGCCCTCTGTCCCTTTGGTGTGGGAATTACACATAGTGTGTTTTGACATACAACGCGCATGATTACTTCTCCAACGCTTGCTTGGGTAAGCGCTACTGTGTTGGATTTGACACTCGCGTGAGTCTTTGTGCTCCCTCGGGCCCGGCCCAAATAAACACCTACCCAACTGGTTACTTAGGAAGTATCCCACAATGCACTGCAAATATTAGGACAGTATATTTAGATGATATGAAGAATTGATAATGTTGTAAAGAGTTCAGAGAAATTGTTACGTGTGGGCGCAAACTGGCTCAAGTCAAGTAAGTTCCTTGCAATGAAGGCCAGATATGTGGATGTCCGCTGCTGCTTTCAACAGCTTGAATGCAAGCTACAAGTTTGATTTCTCCATGTCCTTTTGGCCCAGTTGACCACCGTGAGTAACTTGAAATCATTTGTTTATCACCACATGTTGCGCATGCTCGCCTAAACCTATGACGACATCTCAGGTACGGGGCAAGGGAAGAAATGGCGATGACAGTCCTTTGTCGGGAAATCACCACACCGTCAGAACCAACAGATGTATTTTCCATGTTGTTCTTGCCTCCCCCCCCGAAAGATAAGCTATTTTGATAACCCTGTTGCGTGGAGATTGAGATGCATGTATAAGACTGTGAGGTTCTACTCAGAACTTGGTTTTGCATTGCACAGCAGCTCCGTATGCAGGTGTTTGCGCCTCTCCTAGACGGCCACTCTTAAACTGGGTAAGTTCAATTTCTCGGCGAGAGACCACAGACCCATTGTGCGCACATACATGTAACATTTTGTTTTTCTGTAAAACGCAGGCTGCAATATACGACAAGTCGCTGCGTCTCTCCAGCTACACCATTAGCGGGGGCTCCATGACCATGGGCCAGATCACCAACCACATGTCGGTGGACACCACTAACATCCTCAACTCCACACAGTGGGTCCACTACATCTGGTCCATTCCATTCCTGGTACGTGCCGCAAGGCCTTTCCCTTCATTTGAGCCTTCCTTTTTAAAAACTGTCCTCTGATCTGTCGAACAGGCTGCTATTTATGACAAGGCGCTGCGACTGTCCAGCCATACGATGACAGGGGGCGCTATGACCATGGGCCAAATTACCAATCACATGTCTGTGGACTCCACAAATATCCAGACCTCGATCCAGTACATCCAATACGTGTGGGGCATACCCTTTCTGGTATGTATGGGTGTCCGGGACTGCATACGACACATAACGTGCCAGCTCACTCTTCACTCGACCGCTTTTAACATGTCGACTCTTGCTTTGCTGTTCATAGTTCACGAAGGTTGCTTTTTTTTTCCGCTTTCATCGTTTTTCTGAAGGTGTACTCTTCCTGCTTGAGGACATGTAAACAGGATCTGGCTATCTGTATACACGGGCGCGGCTGTTGGGTCAAAAGATCAAGTGTGCCTCAACTTACCTCCGCAACTGAATTCGCTAATCCCTCATTCTGTTTTGTACATGCGAGTGAAGTGGAAGAGGTGGACCGTGTATTGAACTCGAAATTGGCTGCTCTCACAGGCTCTGATAGCAGATATCACTCTGTGGGCATGCCCGGAATGTAGCAAAATTTGTGGTTGCGGTAGGAAAGATAGCACAGATACTGTACAAATGACTCTAGTGAACTGGTATTTGTGGCATTGGGTTGATATTAATGGTTGCTGCTATTTAGAACACATTTTTTTTTTTGAAAGTCCAAATTTTCTTTAAACGGCAAGTGGGTAGCAGGTAATCTCATGATGTCTTTTCACGTTTCCCTCACTTTTCACTCCTAATGTGATTTTCATTCGTATCAGATGGTACCGAAATGGTAGTTACATGTAAGGAGCCACATTGCACCCTGTACGGGAGACCAAGACGGTGTCCCAACTAGATGGCTAGGGCTTGAAATTACACACAGGTCTATGATAGCGGCTGTAGCTGCTACCCATACAGTCCGGTGCACTTTCAAGCCGCAGCCAATTAATTCGGACACAGCCACAGAAAGCACAGGATGTACGTGTGCACTGGTTTGTATGTGAAAAGCAGGGAATGCAGAGAAGAAGTTTTGAACTGAACTTGCACATCCTAGTTCTGGCACATGTTGGGAGTGGCTCTGAGGCATTTCTCAATAAGCCTTTAGCGAGTTCAATTTAAATAAAATCTGATACACTGTGGCATTTTATTGCACATAAACATACTAATTTGACTTCCCCTGTCTAAAGACATTGTTGCTATGCCTTGTGATTCGGGGCAAGCCTATGGCAAGCCATAGCGACCATCATCTCTGGAATGGACTGGTCCCTTTGTGTCCTTCTTATCCATTGAGAACAGTGTATTGTTGCAAGGCGTCTCTTATGTAACTAAGCAAAAGCTTGCCCCATATCACAAGGTATAGCAACAGTGTCTTTAGTATGGAGAATTCAGAGTGTAATGTTTGCGTGAGTTTAAAGAGTTTGGTGTACCAGATTTTATTCAAATGTAACTTGCAAAAGCTTATTGGTAAACAGAAACCATAATGCTTGACATGCTTTGAAATTGATAAGATGCTTGCTTTTTTTTCGTAAGTTGCTGGGCATGCAAATGTCACTGAGCTCTGAAGAAAACTTCACAAGAATGTTGACTGGCTTTAGTCTTGAGCACCTCTCTCCATGTTCCTGAATGGCTTGTATTCATAAACGCGGGGGAATGCTTTACCAAGCAGTGATTTCCGTTTGGTGATCCACCACTCATGGGTTCTTGTTTATGCATGTCCAGCGCAGAATACGCCTGAACAATTTCTCACACCTGGGGTCTGCTTCTCAGAGCTCGCTAAAGCACAGAAATCTGTAGAATGAGCAAAATTTCTGCTGAGCAGAAACGGGTTACCAACCAAAATGTCGTGCATTCTATTTGTCTTTTGACTGGTTCGCAGCTGATTTTTTGCTGAGCACAAATTCTTGAAGTGCTGTTAGGGTATTTGAAGATGCTGCACCATCCTCTGTGTCAAGGGATTTACTTGCTCATGGAGCGAGTTCCACACAAAGGTTGCATCCAAGTCTGATGTCTATGGCAAGCTTTTTAGGTCTTCACCGATTAGAGATGTACACTACAAGTGACAGGCTGACAAAAGACACTGCCGTAGCCCTAGACATTTGGACATGACCAAATCCCGCCTAATACGGTACAAAAGTACCTGGGGGGATTCAGCCGTGAAGTACCTCAACTTGACATTGGCTCTCATGCCTTCCATGCTTTGCGCTCACTTGAAGTCGGTGTTCCCTACCGGTATTTTGCCATCAGATCATCGGCTACATGGTGATTCTGTACTTTGAGCTGGGAGTGGCTTCCCTGATTGGCTGCGTCGTCTTCTTCATCACCATACCGATCCAAGCTGTCATAGCCAGGCAGACGGCCAAATACCAGAAGGCTATCATGGTAAGCTGCTTTACCAACTGTATCCAATTTTTTCATAGGGCTGCTGAGCTTGGAAGTTTGCGAAGCATAGGAAATATTTGCTCAGTGAGAAAAAGGTAACCAAACCCCAAAACTCATGGTTGATATACATGACTGCAACCTGCTGGTTTTGGCATAGTAGATAGATATGGTACATCTGGCCTGCTCTACGAAAGTGAGCACCCCCTCGTCGGTTGAAACGGGCCATGTTGGTCAGGAGTGTTCATTTTTCTGGTAGCGACGGGCCCCTAACAAGTGCATCTCATAGTTGTTTGCATGCATATTGAAAAGAGGTCAGCAGTGCACTGAGCCAGGTTCGTGAACAAAAGACAGTTGTATAACACCGCACAATCTGGGCTCTGTTTACAAGGCTGCAGGCCTGGCTGAAATATTCGGGAGTCAATGAAGGTCACCTGTCAACTTGGAGGAGTGCCTGAAGATTACTCTGTGCGGCTATAAACGACTGTTAAATGGAATGATGAATTGTTGAAGGATTTTGAAAACGGAAAAAATGATAGTCATGCCGGCCCAGCATCTTCAACGTTGAAAAATGCCCCGGTCCGAAGTGGTTAATGAAACTGATCTCCCCTTCATGCAATTGGATCCTGGCATTTCGAGTGGTTGCTTAGATTCCTCAGTGTCAGCTCCAAGTTTTCAGTTCAGTTCACTTCATGTAACTTTCGCTGAATTTTGGAGACATGGGAAATTGAACCCCTCTGCTCTTCCTTTTTGATTATAGTGAAAGTTCTGGGCCCATCCTCCCAATCTTAGATCCCCCTTGTGTTCAGGCCACCACCCACCTTTTTGCAAAACTGCCAAATGTGGAAAAAAAAAATGTTGGGGCTTGGAGATTTGGTAGATTGACAGTTCAAAGCATGGAGACATTTTTGACATCCAAACAGCACAAAATGTAGACAAAATTCCCCAAGCCCTCTCCTTTTTATGAAACTGAATCGCTCTTGTTCTTGAAATTGGTCCGGGGCCTCGGCCAGGTTGTCGGCCAGGCGAATTCAACACACGCACTCTTTTTCCCTCAGGAAAAATCGGACGAGCGTCTGAAGCGAACCAACGAGTTGCTGCAGGGGATCAAGCTGATCAAGCTGTACGGCTGGGAGGACATGTTCTACACGGCCATCAAGAAGGTCCGAGGCCTGGAGATCCTAAACATGATGAAGGCAATGGGCTGGCGGATTCTGTTGAGTAAGTTGGCAGTGAAGTTTTTGTTTCACTGGTTTCAACGGTCGGCTGAAATTGTGTGATACAGTCTCATAGGCTTCATGTTTGGCACTAACCGGTCTCTGTGCATCGAAAATGCCCAAAGACTTTTCCCGTCAAGCTTTTCTTGATGATATCGCTACAAGTCTTACTATACCCGAGCAGAGTTGACCAAAATTTAGTGACAATGGTCATTTATGCTGTCAAGTATTCCTTTTATAAGAGACCTTGTGTACAGGATTTTGCTGTCCAATTTGTTCATCTAAACAACTGTTTTCATTTTTATTCCATTGCCTAATCTAGCAACCATTACCAGCGCCAGCCCACTCATGGTGACTCTTGTGGTAAGTTGTGCTTATAATAAAAAGCATCTGCTGGAATTGGTTTTTAGAGAAATTTCTAGGGAAAGGTAGAGTCAATTCATCGTTGATTGATATCCAGTGTTGTAGTCAAGATCTCTTGAGACCATCACAAGACCCCCCATACCATCACAAGACCTCCAGTCTGAAGTCAAGTCACCAGCTGTGCCGATGAATTACGACAAAAGCTTTGGTTTGCCATTGTTCATCCTGTTACTTTTGACTGATCCTGTTCGTGGTCTTGCTCTTGAGTCAAACCGGCTGTGAAATGGTCCAAAATAACTTGGCTCTTCAAGGGTTTGTGGATCCATATTTTGAGCCGTAGCGTAAACTTGTCTCAAAACCACTACTCAGATACACACAAACTGTACTCTGCTCTCTTGTAGTCTTACGGCCTGTACACCAAGCTCACCGGCCTGCCGCTGACCTCGGGCGTGGCCTTCGCCGCCCTCTCCGTCTTCAACCAGATGTCCCTCCCCCTCTTCCTGATGCCCATGGTCTTTGTCATGCACATCAACGCCGTGGTCAGCACCAAGCGGCTGCAGGCGTTCTTTGAGGCCGCTGAGATCGAGACACTGGAGCTGGACGAGGGGGACACCGAGATCGAGGCTGGCAAGGGACTCATCAATGAAAAGGTAGATGTCTTGTCCTCCAAAACGTGCCAGGCTTGCACTGAAGGCATTGTTTGCTATCAAGTTGTTTTAACCCTAACCCCCCCGGCTTTTTACCAGGAACCATCCTGAATCCTCCGAAATCCTCCAATTTTCAACATAAACAATTGCATTCAGCCCAAATCCTCAAAAATCCTCCGACATTTCTTGAAAATGTTATCTAGAGGTGTGCCTAACTAACCAAATCCTTCAAAATCCTCCGGCAATTCCTGTCATTATGTTGAGGCAGTGCAAATGGTATTCTTGAGCAGTGCGGTTGATTCAAAAGAAATATCAAGCTAAATTTGTGCTTGACTAAGCACAGACAAGATAAGGTCTAATTCAAGACCTTCGAAATCAGCCATGCAATTTTTCCACACACCCTGAATCCTCCAAATTCTTCCAGTTTGTGGAAGAGGATTTTGGAGGATTTGGGAGGGTTAGGGTTAACATTCAATTTCATTATGCACAGTCTCAACACCTGCTACGGAGGACTGCTACTACCGCACCATTGTTTTCGAGGATTAGTGCATACCACGCATACAGTCTATTCACCATGCAGCTGCTGGTTCAATAGGGCCTGCTGATGGACAGAGCCCTCCATTCATGGCATACCACAGCCCAGCAGTCGCGGTCAAAATAATCCTGCCGTGAAGGGGTTAAACATCTGTCTTGTGATCATTCTTTTATTTCAAAAATGGCTATTGAGTGGACAAAATCTCAGTAGTTTCAGCAGAGTAGAGAGTACTTTGGTCGTGAAAACTTTAAACAGCTGTGACAGTTTGAAGTCTTCGACTTCTTCTTATAATTAAACCTTTCCAAATTTGCTGCCCAATTGGCATTTCTTCTAGCTTTGTTTATAGTTACTTGGTTAATATTCAGTAGTAAAATCATTACTCGAAAAGTACCTGATGACATCACTGTTTGTCACCCAGGTTGCCGTGCGTCAACCCAAACGCCATCGTGCAGAGGACAGGCAGAGGTTGCTCTCGTCAATGGAGGACGAGGAAGACGGGGTGATGGAGGGTATCCACAGCGTCTCACGTTCGCCAGTGCATCCCAGCATCCCGGACAACCTTGCAATAAGGGTGAGAAATGCATTCGCCCAAGGCCCCGTCGCTGATTGGCCAGCTTAAACGACCCATAGCCTGTTGGTCGATGCACAAATGTAGACTTGTGCGTTCAAATCGATTCAAAAGCTTGGAATGCTTTTCCTGTTTGTGCATTTGTGATGTGAGTCGACCCTGTGTCAGAGGTCATAAGAACAACAAGCTTTCTCTCTTCTGTGACTCGATAGCTGTTTGTAGTGTTGGGAAATTTACAACTAACATTGATCATAAAATTTATAAGTTGACCATAAAGTTTGTAGAAATCATAGATGTATGTACCATTTGCTGAGAAGTCCATTTTGAAAGTTGCAATAAATCACTGCGCAACCCTTTCAATTTTAGCCCAGTACAAGAAAAGTTACTTGAAGATCAGCCGGTTGTTTATTGGAACTTAGGTCAAGTGTCCTTCCTTCCTCATTGCCCTTGCAGATCCAAGGGGACTATACATGGGACCAGACTGCCAGTACACCCACCATCAGAAACATCGATTTGGATATCCCAGTTGGTAGGTGGTTTACATCACAAAGCCCTGTTGTCTAATCGGTACCCCAGGTGTGAGATTTTTCCTGATTTCAGGATTTTTTCATCAGGATTTTCCTGATTTCAGGATTTTTCAACCAATCTCTTCTATTCCAAATCTGAAAAATCCTGAGTTTACCATCAAGGGATTATGTATAAAACATACAGAACCCAAGACATGGGTATTTCGGGGTGCCTTCAGGCAAACACAAATGCATACCATGTATCCTCCTCTACTATGGGGCACTTAATATCCCTCTGCTGATTATTTTGTGGCTAATTCACTTTCCTCCAATCTCGCCCCTAGTATCCGCAGCATCTAATCAGGGGGGTTTTTATCACCTTCCATTTATTGTATTGTGTGTTCCAGTCAACAGTGTTTAGTTAATAGAACCTTCTATTGCACGTGTAAGATTGCGTGAATTTCTAAACACAAGGTGATGTCAGCATGTAGTAGGGGGACTTTATTCGGGTGTTCTAGGAAACTATTAGTGTTTCAGATTTGTCAAGCAACGTTTCACATGACGTATGCATCAGACACTTGTAACTGCAAGATTTTATTTCTTTGTCACGGCATTTTATGTCAGCAAATTCTTTGTTTCTGCCACAGGAAAACTGACCATGGTTGTGGGTCAGGTCGGCTCAGGCAAGTCCTCTTTACTGTCGGCCATCCTGGGGGAGATGACCACAGTCTCGGGCCGCGTCCAGTGGAACAGGTATGCTGGCCTGAAACATGCAAAAGATTCTTGGCTCTTCTCAAATCATTCCTCGGTCAAGTGCTTTGGACAAAGCCTTTCTAAGCAGTTGTCCGTATCTTGCGTGCCAGATCGCCAGTGATGACCTTTTTTTGAATTTCAAGCATGAGCAGGGAAAAGAAGCTATAAATCTTTTCATTCCAGCAAACATAGCCAGCCACGTCATCCTTGTCAAATGTACACACAGGATTGTTTTGAATAGTGCATCTAGTACAGTAGTTGAAGTGGCACAAGACAAGAAGCCCATTGTGTGCCTAGAAACAGTCAGTCTGCCTACACTGAGGATTCAAGTTTAGTTTAGAAGTTAACCTCATATCATGGTCTGTCTGCAGTGAGGATGCAAGTTTGTTCAGAACATAACATCACATGATTTTACTTTGATGGGAATTGGAGTCAGCTGGTACGTTTTCCCAACTTGTTCCCCATCCATTCAGGAAGTACAACTCCGTGGCCTACGGAGCACAGAAGGCGTGGCTGTTAAATGCTTCCCTCAAAGAGAATGTACTCTTTGGCAACCAGCTGGAAAATGACAGGTAAAACATCATCTGGAGTGTAACCACATCATCGTAGAGTTTCAAGACTCGAGATGTTACAGTGCATAATTAGCCAGGGAAGTTCACACTATGAATTCCGCTCGGTTAAAATGCAGTTTCTTGGTTAAAACTGGTGTATGCCGTCTGATCACTCGATTTAACCGTGTTCATTTTCGGTTAAACTTGGTGCAGCAAAAATACAAGGGTAAAAATGGGGTTGTTTCTGGAAACTGGTAAGGAGCCCTGCTCATTAACTCTGCTGTCAGTTCTGTGGTCGAATAGCAAGGCCGGCTATTCCGGTTAAACAGGGATCTTCTAGGGAATCCCACTCTGCCGTCAGTTTTGTGGAGCATAATCCCCAAGGCCAGATGAGTTCCTTGTGCTTGGCGATCATATCGCATTAATAGGCTGCCCTGCCCTAATCCCTAACGGTATACTAAATAACTTTTAATCACCACTGATTGATACAAGTGGGTTCTTTACACTGGTACTCAGTTCTTCGTAGGCCTATCCTGTACCTGAATGTATCAGTTTTCCGGCGTCATGTATCCCATGTATTTCAGGATACAGACATTTTATTTAATGCATCGAACGATGCATTAAATGCAACGAACTGCAGAACCGAACCCAAAATCATCTAACATGGCACTTTCAAACCGAACCGCCCCACACTGTTAGGTTCGAATGGTCAGCTTTGATAAGACATGACACTGATAGCAAACGAAATGCATGCAGTTGCAAGAAACATTGAGAAAACACAGACAACGGAAACAGGAAAATAAGTTATACCAGCGCTAGCTCGGGACTGTACAGGCACACGTGCAAGTACATTTACATGTATTATGTACATGTACAGTAAACTTACATGGCCCCGCATCACAGGATGGTGAGAATTCAAAATCAACCTCTCCAGACAAGGGTATCGTTTTTATTCAATCAATTCAGTGCTTTATATGTCAAAAATCAGTGAATTTATCATGTAAAGTTACAATGTACATGTAGGTATGGCATTTTGGCCGTATTACAATACTAAATTCTCATTACATTTGTGCTGATGTATATTCCAAAAAACATTATACATGCAAATCTCCAAGATGCACGCCCTTACGTTCCATACTTGGCCAATAAAATTAGAAATGGACGTTCAAAATGAATTTTGATTGATGGCAACTCCAGAGGAAAATGTATTTTTTCACATTCCGTAGAGGTACGGTTCCATTTGCATGTTACGTCTTTTTCATTCTTGCTATTGGCCGACACGATAATGAAAAGGATGTTCTAAACTTGGGGACCGGGGGGATTGAGAGATATCTAACCAGGAATTCGCCGTAGACTGTGGATCAAAAAGTGCCATGTAAGGTTTAATTTGAAGGTGAGAATGAGTTATTCCTTGAATAAAAATATACTGACGGCTGGCCAACGCAAGCCGGTCAAGGTGATCGTCACCTGCCGCAATATTTGTTCATGTCTGCATCCGCCCCTGTGCACCTTTTTATCTGCCCCGGCCCGTGCACGTGCAGAATAGCTTGCCTTCGATATTACGTGTCACACGGCAGTCAATTGTGTACACACATGACATGACCAGCTCAGCGATTCAGCACATGGGCGTGGAACTGCAGCTGAACCATGCAGTCGGCCCATTAGCTGTGACACTGTCCATTGGAGAAATTGTGGAACAAGGAAGTTCGTCGTCAAAACTGGGATGAATTATTCCAGATTCCGGTATGGTTTGGATTACCAGGTTCTTGCCAATTTGTTGGGGCTTATGGGCCGGCGGTACCAAGGTGCCATGGGGAGTTTTAATCAGTAAAAGCTTCTGCGCTCTTGACGAATGGTTAACATCGACTATGGGCACCGCCATCTTGAATTTTAGCGCTAGCGCTATTGATTTTGTGCACACAGAAAACAGTCACTTCTGATTAATTGTCATTAAGGACTAATGAACGGTAACTATACCAATAAAACTTCAGTTGTTTATTATAACTGAACTACTCCAGACACCGTATCATTTTATTTGATCAATTTATTGCTTTATATGTAAAAAATCAGCAAATTTATTGTGTAAACGAAATACATATCCCCCAAACCGCGCCTTTTTTTTTAATCAGGTAAAAAGTGGATTTACCCAACAGGACACTGCAGTTTGTAGCACACCATCTCTCCACCATTAAAACATGGTTAAAACGGGTGACTGTCCATTTGGACTGTCGATGGACCAGGAGAGGATGAAGGCTTGGATAACAAAGTGTGGTGGGTTCAGTTGAAACACGGTTAAAATGGGTGAACATTTTGGCTTGATCTATGCAGTTGAAAACGGGGTTCAAATTAAGGTGGAATACATTTTAACCGAGAAACTACATTTAACCCTATTTTAACTGATCTAAATTTCATAGTGTCATTGGATCATATAATTTTTGAATGCTCTGCATATATTAATAATTCAACAAAATACTTTAAGTTGTGTATGTTGTCATTAACCCTTGAGGTCTTGTGTCAGGGTTTCTTCTGCCCATTTATTGAAGTGTGAGGTGGCCCACCTCAGTGATTTTAGTGACCACCTCAGGCTGTTCTGTTGAATTTTACCACCTTGCATGTACATGTAAACTACACAAAGATGAAAGGAAAGGCATGGATATTTTGAAATAGATCAGCTTTGGATCATTCAGAATGGTAAAGAGGGACACAGAATGCAAGATCAATTTATTTTAGGAGGGAAATTTGTAGCAAATTTACTACCAGACTTTAAAATACTCCCTTTTCCTTTAGGCACTAGAATTCAGTCAAAATTGGTTTAACCCCCCCTCACACATATCAATGCCCCGGGGGAAAGCCTGCCCTATATAATACATATCAAACAGAGTTACTTGTCCGGTGTTCACGTACTTTGATAAATCTAATCACTAGATACCTGTAAAGATTTGGTAAAAGTGAACAGCTCAGAGGAATGCAACAATAGCAGCTCCTGATTTTATTTCGGCCAGGTACAAGAGGGTGATAGCGGCCTGCTCCCTGCAGCCGGACATCGACATTCTCCCTGGTGGAGACAAGACGGAGATCGGAGAGAAGGGAATCAACCTGAGCGGTGGGCAGAAGCAGCGTGTCAGCGTAGGCAGGGCCATGTACAGTTACAATGAGGTCGTCATACTGGTGAGTCTGCGATTGCATCCATCTGTCATTATTCATGAGGTGTAATCAGGGGCAATGGTGTGTGACGTGCCTCATTGCCCTTTTGGGGGGCCAGCAACATGGGCATTTTTTTCATGTAACTTGGCAAAGGAGGCGGCCTGTTGATGATGGTACCCAGTTTCGTCCACTTCAGACGGCTTTGCCAGAGTTGCATGATTTCAAATCTCTGACAGTCAGCAAATTTCAAAGAAATTTCTGCCCTTGGCGTGTTTAATTTCCTGCTAAAGTGGTCGCTCGCCCCTCCTCTATTTAAGTTGGTTGTAGTGATGACACAGGTGCAGTAGTACACAAATATATCATTGTTTGAGAGGCTGTCATTTGATGTGTCTGAGGACGTGTCCCAAACGGGCTTCCAGAGCTATGGCTAGGTCTATTGTCTGCACGTCTCCTCATATTTCCTGTGGAGTGTAGATCTAGTCCTAGCTCTAGACAGCAGATTTGGATACAGCCTTAGTCCCTAGATTGCCAATTTTTTTCTACCGTCCAGTTTGAAGTATAGAATCCGGCGCCTCTCTGAGGTATCTTTCACTCTGTTCCTCCGTGGATTTTATTTTCATGCCGCCTTTTCATTGGTGTTCTTCCTCTCAGGACGATCCCCTGTCCGCCCTGGACATGCATGTGGGCAGTCACCTTTTTAAGGAAGGCATTGAGGACTACCTCATGAAGAAGAGCAAGCGCACGGTCATCCTGGTCACGCACCAGCTGCAGTATGCCGACAAGGCGGACAAGGTCGGATTATTTGACTTTGGTCAAAACGGTCCAAAGATTGGTGTGACCGCTTGGGAAAGCCTTGCCTGAATTATTTGGTCGTGGGTGGAGATAGCGATTTTATCTCTGAAATTGCATGAAGCCACTGGCTGGTAGGCACTTAAGTTATTTAGATACGATTTGTACAAGTGCTCTACCATGCGTTGACCATTAAGCTGTAACCCATCAGTACCTTAATGGCACAATGGCTTTGGCTAAGCAGATTACAGAGACTTTGTTATCTCCTCTGTAATCGCCCCAGGCGACTACCAGATCCTTCACAGTCTTGCAGTCCTAGAACAAAGAAGGGAAGGTTTAAGCATGGAAGAGACGGTCCTTTTGATGGGTACTTACCGTGCTAGTGCACAGGTTTATTAACGTTTGAAGTGAGGTGTATTGTGTTTGAATTACTCGTCTTGCTCGTGCACTGGGAGTGTGCATGAGCTCAGTTGAAAACCCTCCCCCCCCTCCATTTCCTTCACCAGAGACCAGTGAGGGTATCCTTCAAATTTGGGCAGATAAGGGTGTGTGACTTCCTGTAATCTCAGCAAGGTTTTGCTGTGTGGTTTGTACTCTCTGCCACAGATCGTTTACATGAAGGACGGCCAGATCCAGCACCAGGGAACGCTGGAGGAGATCCGGGAGGAGAACCCGGAGTTGGTGGCCAACTGGACGGCCACAGCCAATGAGGCGATGGAGGAGTCGGAGTCGGAAGGGGAAGAGCAGGTCAAGGAAGAGCGAGCCAAGCTGGTGCGGCAGGTCTCCAGCATCATGGAAGAGGAGAAGAAAGCCGAGCTGGCCAGATGTTAGTCTGGGGACCTTCTCATTATGATTGTTGTAATACACAATGGAGGGAGACACCGCCAGGCCCGTCAGGGAATCCCCACATGAAAGTTGAAAGCTAAGCCTTCCCAACCTTATTGATCCTAATTGACAAGCAAAGCAATCTTTCCCCCAAAACGAAGGTAGAAATAAACAAATGTACTTACTACTTTGCCTCACTTTCAATTTATAAAAACTTATCATTTGCAAGTTATTAGCTTTGGTAATGGCAATGCTACGTTCCTCTTTTGCTTGGAGTTACCCATAGGGTAAAGTTAGCAATTGGTTGTTTTTGACTGGAAGGAATTCTGTACCCGTGTGTGGGCAGGACTGACCGGCTGTGATCAGCGGCCAAATCTCATCAGCCACGGTCCCAGGCTGGATCTTCAGTCTGCCTCGTCTGTGACGAGCCTGCCTCGTCTGTGATGAGCCTGCCTCGTCTGTGACGAGCCTGCCTCGTCTGTGACGAGCCTGCCTCGTCTGTAACGAGCCTGCCTCGTCTGTGACGAGCCTGCCTCGTCTGTGACGAGCCTGCGTGTGGAAGGGCGTTGTGCATGTGTGCCTCCACAAATTACATTCACTTGTAAAGTAGGAAATGTCGCGTGAAAGCTTGGACATTATCAGTGATGCTGAAGAAACGTTTTGCATATTTGTTCAGGGAATGCTTTCATATTTGGATGCATGCTTTTCTCCACATGGCTCCTCTAGGAAAACATGCATGTGTTATGACATCATCAGCACACAGATGTGTTGAAAATTAATTCACTTATTCCAGGTGTCTGTGTGTTTTTGTCTTGTCAGCGGAATCAACAGCCGGCAAACTGGTTGAGAAAGAAGAACGGGCAGAAGGCTCAGTGTCCTGGCGCGTCTACCTAGTCTACATCAGGCATCTAGGCTTCGGGGTCTTCTTCTTCCAACTGCTGCTGCTGATGGGCCGAAACGGTTTGAGTATAGGCACCAACTACTGGCTGGCAGCCTGGTCGGAACACGGCAACACTCTCAACATCTCCCAGAACGGAACCGAGGTAAATGAAGCACCTCACGCTGGATGGTGTGTAAAGGCAAAGGAATTTCCTGCGTTGTAACACTTCGCTTCAATACTTGGGTCTATGGGAGCCTCTGACAAGCGGCTGGTGTCAGTACCATAGACTCGTGTGCTATTCTCAGCCACAGCCAATTGCTTGGGACGCAGTCATAGTTCATTATCTCATCCTCTGTCGCAGGATCCTCTACTTGGTTACTACCTGGGTGGCTACGCAGGTCTTTCTGTGGCCAATATAATCATCGGAGCTGCCGCATCAACGGTCCTGTACATTGGCTCTCTGATAGCTGCAAAGAAGCTTCACAACAGCATGTTGAACACCATCATAAGTGCCCCGCTCAGGTAAGGGAGCAAGTTTGTTTCTGTAATCTTTAGTTTTTGGGGCTCAACCACTTTGTTCTTGAGGATGGACATGGTTAAGTACCATCTGGCTGTCTGCAGACACAGCTGACAGGGTCAGATGCCAAGCCTGCCTCGACTCCCCTCCACCTGATGTCTAAAATGATGATCCTCTGTTTGGTTTGTACTCAAAGACAAAATTTGACGGATCTTGTGGAAGGTGACTGTGTACAGCCTTGCTGTAGTAGCAGATATGAGGTTGTTGCAAGAAATGTTGTATATGAAGAATATTCAGATAACCATAGCAACTCAGTGTTTGCTGTATCTGGCGGGATGTCGGAAGGGTTGTTTGCTCTTCTTTAAGTGGCAAATTTTTTGGTGGAGAGGCTCTTCTCCTTCATTCTGGCCCACAGCAATGTTTCATATCTCTCTCTGGGATGAATTCTGCTCTCGAAATGCTCGCCAGTGTGGAGGAGATGAATCTGCTGACAAAGTTGGCCATTCTGTCGTGCCTTTTTGAATGTGAAAATCTGTAGCCAAAATAAAAGCCATCCGCAATTGGATTCAGGGCACCTGTAAAGCTTGAGTACAAAATCGTGCCAATTGAATTTGCCCACAGGAGTGGATTTCATTTAGTTGGTGACTTGCTCAGTTAAGGTGGGCAGCAGGTAGTTCTTAAAAAAAAAAAAAAACTGAGTGCAATTTAGCCCAGAGTGTCAGTGATAAGAAAAGCTACCTTTACATTTACGATTTTTACATTAGCTATTGTTTTCTAAGATTTTTTTTCCTTTGTGTTGATTTTATTTTATTGTATGTGTTAATTTATTCATTCTGCACTGTGCTTTGAGTATCAAGAGTGGCTTTTTTGGAGCGAGAGGTGTGCATGGGAGATATTTGTGTTTTTCTTTGTATTAATTGTTGTCATTTCTGTTATTAGATTCTTTGATACTACCCCAATTGGGCGTGTTCTCAATCGGTTCTCTTCAGACACAGCTGTCATTGACATGGTAATGCATCGTAATGCACATTTCTTTGAAGTCCTCTATCAGGACGAGTCGTTTTGTCATTTGTATTTGCCAAATTAGCTGAATATCAGAAAGTTAGAGGGTGCTGTCCCATTTGTAAAAAACACAATAGAACCACCTCGCTGTCTAACAGAAAGTTAAAGCTATCAGCTTTCAAGGGCTTTTCAGGTGGAAGGTGCCTCCCTCCCCCCTTGGGATTTGGTGGAAAGGTAACGACCTGCTTCACGACTCCAATTTAAAAAATGGGAAAAACTTTCATCAGGGCAATAAAGAACTTGGAAAAAGGAAATATGGCCATATGGTGTCTGATCTGTTTCTGGGGGGAATGATCATTTGTGCTCAATACAACAGAATTTAGTGGACAGTTTAGAAGCAGTTCTGAAATGTTCTGTTTCTTCCAAGACAACATGTTAAACTGAGGGGACAGGCTTCACTTGCTAAGTTTTGTCATCAGATATGAACTCTTTTTTAATATTGTTATGTTTAACGTTATTCCGCAGCAACTCGGAGGGACTCTACTTACTTTCTTGAGCTTCAGTTTGAACTGTATATCGGCTGTGCTGGTGGACGCCATTGTCACCTGGTACTTTGTCATTGCGCTGATCCCCATCTTTTTCTTGTACATCTTGCTGATGAAGGTTTTCATCACTACATCCAGGTAACGATGAAGACTCCTTTGAAAGTTGGGTACAAATTTGGTGAAGGTGTGTTGGTCGTTGTCCAGTGGTGCGAAGTCCTTGAACAATCCAGCGTAGCAGAATTGAATACTTCGATCACAAGTATATATGCACATGGGGCTAATCCCCTGTTCTGTGATGTTCCCAAACACAAATGCCCTTGATCTCTCTTGTACTTTGCAAATTGCTATGTAGTCAACTTAGGTCGACCTGTGCCACTGTTGAATTTTGTTGTTATAAAATCCACCAAAGGTTTGTATCAGATGGGTACATACAAATTTTCAGTGAGTCGCTCTTCGTAAGTCATACGTATGTTAAATACCGCTAGATATAACAGGGAAGTTTGCACAAGATACAAAGCTTTTAACCAAGATAATTAAAAAAAAAAACCAAGAAAGACATCGAAGGTTCTTTCTAAATACATTTATCTGCCAAGGTGTGAACAAAGTTTAAAAGTATCATTGTTGAGGGGCTAATGAGGTTAAAAGCCATGGTGTGTGCATGTCGTCTGTCCCCCACCAGGGAGCTACAACGTTTGGACAGCATCAGTAAGTCACCAGTCTACGCTCACTTCTCGGAATCACTGGGAGGCTTGTCCACCATCAGAGCCTACAAGTAAGTCTAAACATTGACGAGTCATAAAGCAGAAACCGTTACCCTGTCCAAGGCAGCCAAACAGATGTTGTCTGTTTAAAAAGTCCTTTACACTTTAATTAACATGCTGTTGTGAGTTCAGCCCAGAGAATGTGGAATTTTTTGTCAGAAAAACTTTGTTTTTACTTCAAGTTAGCTGTTCTAATATGTAACTGCTGAAGTAGAGTCACAATTTTAAAAGGCACTTGGAATTTTCTGATATATGAAATTTGCAGTTCTGATGACTTTGTTGCTCTGAATATTTCAGGATTTTTGTTTGAAATGTTTAATGCCTGGAAGAGAATCTTAAGTTATATTTGACACACAGTTTTAAAAGTTCACCTGACCGTTTTGTACATTCGCAGACAGCAGCAGCGTTTCCAGAAACTCCTCGTCAAAAAGATCGAGTCCAGTAACTTGACTTTCTTGTATCTGAACACTGGAAATAGGTGGCTGGGTAGCCGACTGGTAAGTGTTACTTGACAAGCAGCCCTATAACTGGAATCCCCTCCCTGTTCCCCCAAAAAGAAATTGCTCTTATGCAGTTATATCACAAAAGCTCTGTTGAATGGCCCCAAAAAACCAGGAAAGTCATTTTTTTAATTGGAATCTTTGGAAAGGTTTTGGCCTAAAAGGTACATTTACAGTCCCTTGTAATGGTGAAATTTCGATACATTAATTGGTTGTTATTTTTGCATGGTCCAATTTTCCAATGGACTAGAGTTAGTTTTAGATAATGATTTACGGGTCAACTCTTAGGGAGGACTGTCATTAAATATCTCAAAAGTGATCTGAATTACTACTGACATTTCTATGTATTTGTAACAAGCTTCTACAGTGTTGCCATTTTTGGTTCTGAAATTCCATATTTTATTTTCCTCCTCTATTCTTATTCAACATATTATAATGATAATGAGATTTTATATTGAAACGAAAGGTTCCCTTGGTGAGTTTTTACATTTTTTCTTTCCAATCACGGCGTATGCTCAGATATGTCTAATTTTGAAAGAAACACTTCACATTTATGTAACATATCCAGCACATTTATACAAGTCCCATTTCACACACTACTACTGGTGGAGCGGACTCAAGAAACAGGGAACACTCTCCCCGAGTCTTAGGTTTTTTCATTCTAATTTGGAATACTGCAGGACTTGATCGGAGCTTCGATCGTGTTATTCGCTGGACTGGCCACCATGGTCACTGCCTTAACTGGGGGAAGTCTTCAACCCAGCTTGGTTGGCCTGGCAATCACCTATGCTCTCAGTGTAAGCAATGTCATGAAAGGAATGTGTATGAGTGCATTGATAATAGCAATTTCCTGGAGAAGCAGATCGAATAGCCTATTGCATGAAGTGAGGCAGAGGTGAACGGAATATTGTATCTGTTACCTCATAAAATATTCCTACCAATGCATTAATGTGAAACATTTATTCTGCATTTATATACAATGCCTGAATAGATTTCTCTTTGTTCCGGAGCCACCACTTAATTTCTCGGCTTGGTGTGAAACCCCAACATGAAGATTTCATTTTGCAAGCGGTGACTGGAATTTTCTGTGTAAAGCTTTGACGGTACCCCATGTGTCTTGTGTGGCACAACGCTCTGTAGCTATGTGGAGAGCCATGACTATGCCTTTCAAGCACATGCATAAGTCAATCGTACGCTACGTAGAGTTTGGTCACACAATTGAATATACCAGGCAAGTCGGTGACACTTGACCTACAACTCGTCAGTCTGATGACAAGATTTGTTCAGCTGTTGCATAAATCTGCGCGCAGATTTATGGATTTCTGAAGTGACATTGTGGATTTTGATCCAGCCGATGACAGCCTAGCAGTAGAAAGCATTTCTACTTTTTTGTGTAAAACTTTGAATTTTGTTAGCATTATGCTCAGTTTGATGTTTATTTCTGTGTGTGTTATTGCTGATGTGGGCAAAGTGTTTCTTATGGCTTCATGTGCCAATCGTATTTTGCAGATTCGTAATTGAGGCCCTATCCAAGTTACCTGGCTACAGCTGAGAATAATACAGTCGCCTATCGAAGCCACTTGCCAGTGGCTTTCTGCATTTTGCATAGCACGCTTGCGATCTCTAGCCATAGTCATGTAGTTTAGACATTGCCTAACTTCTACCAAGTTACCTTTTAATGCTGACATGGGTGTTTGGCTCACAGATCTCTAGCCAATTGAACTGGGTGATCCGCATGTCGGCCAATCTAGAGATGCAGATGAACGCAATGGAACGAGTGGAGTACTACAAGTCTGTCAAGAAAGAGGACTATGACGGTAAGCAGCAAGTGACCGACAGGTGACCGTGACAAGCGACAGACTATGACAAATGACAAGCTTGGAAAGTTCTGTATGAGATTATTTTGATGGGTAGATCTGGCCATGAGAATGTAAACGGTTATAATAATTGAAAACTGCACGTTTTGCACAGGGTGACTTCGTTACAGAATTTGAAAAGTGACTAAGATAGTGACAGTGATTGGCTGGCATGACCATGACTGGAGCTGAGGGGACGAATGTGCTCAAACCAACAAATCCTTTACAAGAAGAGTGATGACAGGGACTCCAGTAAAGTAGTATTCATCTTTGACAGTCTGTTACTCATAGGCTGCAGTGGATCTGGTCTCGCAATGTTCAAACCCCCTATAGAGAGTTATTACACGGATCTCGTTATCGGCAACCAAAGATTTTGCCCACCTTGTGTGTTCAACATCTGTCGAAGGAGTAACTTTATTCCTTTTTGTCACTGATGACCAGGCTTACTAGAGCCAGGCAGCGATTGGCCCGACAGGGGTGAGATCCTCTACAAGGGTGTCTCGGCCCGCTACGCCACTGAACTCGAGCCCGTGCTCCACGACATTGACATCCACTTCAGGGCTGGAGAAAAGGTAACGCTGACATGCTCCTTTATCCCCTAATTCGCTAGGAAGCGTCCAACAACTCTTTGTACTCCAGTTTTTCAAGGCATCAAGCAGCAGGACAAGAAACATTTGCTGAGGTCTTGTCTCACGACCTGAAGCCTGCAAAATCCTCCAAAACATCCTTGTAGATTTTCAAGGACCGATGGAGGATTAGGATTACTGGCTGGGCTCTTTTTAAATCTTACAAAGTCCTAAGAAATCAGCCATTAGATTTTAATGGCTCATGGAGGGCAAGGGTTGATGAATGCCCCACCATTCAGTCATTCCTAGGGTTTCTTTCCATGTCTCAGATCTCACAAGTGCTCTCTCAAAAGTGTTTCAGCCATCAGAAAATGTCCAGGGATTTAATATAGGGGTTAACAAGTTAATTTGCGCTGTGGACAGAGCCCTGAAGTGCAAGAGAGGCCCTGAAATTTTTGTTTTTCCTCACAAATAGGTCGGGATCTGCGGTCGGACTGGGAGCGGCAAATCATCCCTAACTCTGACCCTCTTCAGAATCATCCAGACGTTCAGAGGTGAGCCCAGACACCACCTGACCAAACACAGTGGACGACACATCCCCCTAAAGAGGATTGAACCAGTGCAAGACCATGCGGTTGTGCATGGATTCCAAAATCTATTTCACAAAACGAACTTATCTTTAAACTCTCGAAGAAGGATAATTTGAGTGTTTGCTCTGACGTTATGATTTGGAACCTGCATGGAACGGTGCTCTCTGACCTCTCCTTTATAATGATAAAACTCTTTTGAGTCAAGACATTTTCCTTTTATTGTGACCGCGACAGGGCAAATCTTGATAGATGGCATGAACATCGCCCACCTGCCGTTGGTTGAAGTCCGCCGTCGTTTGGCCATCATTCCACAGGACCCTGTGCTTTTCACAGGCACCATCAGGTAAAGTGGATAAGAATATCCACTGTACTAATGTTCATCTTCCACTAGGTTTTTTGGTTCATAAGGTGGAATGTTTAAAGTCGGGTGACTACAGTGAACTGTAAGTAACTGTGCTTTTACTCCTTGCTGTTTGGGCATGTTACACTATACTCACTGTAAATTTGTCAATGTTTAGTTGGGCCTTGGGCAATGAAATTTTCTTTAATGCTGGTTAACCACTTGCTGCCGGGGAGCCCGGTTTCAGACACGTATTCTTTATATGCACAGCTGGGGTGTCCAAAATTGGACAAAGGGAACTGGGCCTTATAACAAAAGATGGTACTCATAGCAAAAGACCAGGCTGCTTGGAATTACCAACATTCTTTCACTGTCAATAGCGGAGATAAGCCAGCGTTGTTTTGAAACAGTATACCACGGTTTGGGGCACTCAGCATGAGCTCATTACCACCGGGGACAAAAGCGCTCCACCACCGCAGCGATGAGCCCCACAGCACCGCTGTACGCTAATCTGGTCCCTATTGAAAACAGGTCAGCAGCGCACTGTGCCAGTTTCAGAAACAAAGGTGTCTGCTCTACAAAGCATGAAAGTATTGGTCTGGGCACAGTGCCACATAGAATGAGATGTGGGTTTGACAGCGGCAGATTTGCTCTCACTGGCATTCCCCGTCAAAGACGTTTCCATGGTTTTCTGTGGTTTCCTTGCACACTTCTGCAAACATTTCCTGAACGTGGCCAGAACATTCAGCACATCCATTTAAAATACCCCCCCCAAAAAAAAAGATTGCAATGCATTAATCTAAGGCCTCAGATGCATTTTCTCGGAGAAGCTGTCACTGTAAATTCTCGATTTGGATTTTCCGTTGGAACTTTCACGCTTATTGTTCCTCTTTCCAGGTTTAATCTGGATGCACGGGGTGAGCACGATGATAATGCATTGTGGGAAGCCCTGAAGATCGCGCAGCTGAAAGATGTGGTGTCAGATCTTGACCTCAAACTGGGTAAGTAGGAAGTATTGCCCGGATACTGTCATTTGCCCCCCTTGACTGCTTCTCAACTTTTTCTGTTTCATCAGCCGAAAATGGCACAGAGTTCCAGAGTGTTGAAGGTCATTTTGAAGCAGGAAGTGCAGTGCAAATTCATGGAGTACGCGCGTGTTGGTTCATGAGCTTGTTCTCGTGCTTATGCCTTTTTTTTGCAAATGATTGTGCGCGTGACGTGTTCAACACTCTATAATCCCTTGGTATTGTCTCCAAGGACAGATGAAAGATTTGGGGAAAGGGTTGAGACCTTTCTTGCTTCTGCCCCAAGGGGTCAAGTGGATTGTAGAATCATGTAACGGAATTTGTTTTTGAACGTGTTAATTTCCTGTCTTTATTGCATATGTGTCTTTGGAAAGCATCCCATTTTCTTTTAAGTCTGTAATAAAATTTTGTCAACAAAATAGGAGGTCAGGGCCATTTTGACCCTGCCACTCAAATTCATCATGCTCCCCAAGACTGTAGCACTGAAAGTTTAATTATCTCCAGTTTTCTCCAGGTGTAATTTCTTCACCGTTGTCTCTGTCGGTTCTTCATCCTCATCTAACGGATAATCCGCCCTCCCCATACTTTTTTTTTCCTCTTTTGACAGATGCCATGGTGACGGAGGGAGGTGAGAATTTCAGCGTGGGTCAGCGTCAGCTGTTCTGTTTAGCTCGTGCCTTCTTGAGGAAGACTCGCATTCTTGTCATGGACGAGGCCACTGCCTCCATCGACTTGGAAACGGTGAGTCTTGAAAACAGTGATCTCAACCGTTAATTACTTGTGGCTGAGGCTACAATCGGTTTTACAAGAATGCACAAACAACAGAATTTTTCTCTCACGCTCCTGTGTAGGACTAAGGTAGAAACTCCCTGAAAGTTACAATAAAAGATTTTGTTGTCGAGGTGCTGCGTATTGATTTTTTTGTCAGTTTGATTTCTTCTCACAAAAAGTCTGAGAATTTTGAAATAGGATCAGGAAACTGCTGTCCATCATGCAGCAGTATGTGGATGGATTCTTATTATTGCATGGCACTTTATGAGTTTAATATAACCAACCCTGAAAAACTTGTTAAAAAAACTGCTTTTCACTGATTTCATGGCATTTGTGTTTTTTCTCCTAGGATGCCATTCTCCAAGACGTTGTAGCCTCTGCCTTTAAAGAGAGGACCGTACTCACCATAGCTGTAAGGACCAGCCATCTGTGCAGTTCCTTTTCCAAAATTAATCCTTTGTGAACAGTCAGAATCGTTTTCTTCCAATCCTCTTATCTCCCGTTAAGGCCAGTTCATACTTCAGACAAGTTGAAAAAGTGAAGCGAGTTTGAAGTCACGAAGCATTTGCGGCAAAATTTACTCAAGCTGAAGTGTGTTCAACTTGTGCAAAATGGCAGCGCCATTGTTTTCATCTGAAGCCGCAAAATCCTGTGCCGCTTCATTTTGGCAGCAGGTGTGAACCAGCCCTCAGCCTTGGACAGCTTCCTTTCAGAATCACAGAGGAAACTCAGAATTGGAATTGCGGCTCCACCCTTAGAGTCTTTCCATGTCTAGTTTGCTTGAAAGTCAGTTCCTTACAACATTATAGATGGACTATTTCAATATGAAATAAAGTTTGGGCAGAATTCTTAAGAAACAAAAGCCAAGAGCATGTGTCACATTTTAGATGGTGTTAGTCTCTGAAAACTGTGATGTGAGAATTTATAAAATCCCAATAACAATTTTTACAAGAGAGAAGGACTTTGTACATGTGTCGGCTGTTTCTCTGATATCTCATGAGTGGATTTTGATTCAGTTCCCCTGCGTGATGTCCCGGCGTTGGTGCAGGAAAGTGTACTCGTTAGCACAAATCCTTTCCTTCTTTTCCAGCACCGTGTGCAAACCATCCTGGACTCGGACCACATCCTGGTTCTGAACGAGGGTCGGATCGCCGAGTATGACACGCCACAGAATCTGCTGGCTCAAGAGGACAGCATCTTTGCCTCTCTCGTCAGGGCTGGAAGTTAAGGAGGTGGTCCCTGAGGCGAAGACACTGACTTAAACCTCACTCATCACAAAAGTAGTACAACTGGCTCAATTTCAGAACACTGGGGAAGTATGAAAAGAACTTTGCAATGACCGTGTCGTAAGTGACCATTATGTGAGTGTCAGAGCCAGGGGGAAATGATTATGTTTGGATTGCCAGTGTGGTTTGGAGAATTAAAACTGTTGGTTCCTATTAAGGCCTTAATTTGTTTGTTGTTATCTCTGACCAACGATTATTGATGAAGTCTTTACAGCTTCTTGAAATTTTCTTAAAACATCTGTGTTCTTGAGTAGATAGAAAAAAATGCCTACAGAGTATTCTATTTTCCCCAAATACCTCGTCTTTTGACAATTTTTCCAACAACTATTGTCATGTCTCATGCTAAGGGACAGCAGCACTCAGCTTTAAGTTCCCTTTTTTATATGGTTTTCGTATGATTTAAGTTTGGCACTCTGTGGTTGGTCATTGAGACTTGGCTAGTTCAGTATTCCAACTCCGCTTATGCACATCATTCGATAATTTTCTCTTTGGAGATTAATGATCTACGACATGTATTCAGAATTACTGAGGTTACCAACAAAATTGAAGCTAAGTTCTTGTTCCTGAAGTAAGTACAAAACTTACTGCGATTGTAGGCAGCTCTGTGCTTCAGTGCTCCCAATTTTTGTGAGAACTATTATCCAAATTATTGTTTTGAATGCAGATTTATCCACCATTGCTACATAGACGCTATAAACATCTGGATCCTTTAAAAACCATTGATGTAACCCTTTTCCTTAGATTTGAGGATAAGGTGACCTTTGCTGAGCTCTCCATAAAACTCTGATTACTTCACCTACTGTTGCCAGCACTGATCCTATTGCTGGTTAGGTGTGGAGAAATCTTTAAAAAGGCCTGTAACCCTGCCCATTGGTGAATAATTGGGAGTTGTTCAAAATCCCTGAAAAAACTTCCGTTTGGTATGAGACCTTTAAACATCCAAGGATAAATATCCTTGAAACGGCCCTTAAGGATTCACTCCACAGCCAAGTGGTACTTCAATGAGAACATATTATTGTGGGATTGTGTACATCCATCTGCAGTGTTTGCCCCGAAGTGAGAATTATCGAAGAATGCCAACCTCGTACGTAGTTGGGATATTGAGCTGGCTTCTGAAATGTCACTGGTTCAGTGCACCCACCTTACAGAATGTCCAGCTTTGTTATGGGTTGTTGTGTACATTCAAGCATTGCACTGCCATTTGATAAATCTACAAGTTCGTTGTTAAAAATGCACTCAGAGATGTGATACGCCCTAGGTGTATTTCACCGATTGGCCTGTGATACGAAAGTTCTGGCATGCACATGCTGAAATACATGTAGCTGCCTTGTTTTTTCTGTCCTAATTTAACACAGCTTGGTCAAAGAAAAACACTTATTCAAGATGTCTTTTGTCGTAAGGACTTCAAATGTAGCAGGGTTCCGGACTGGAAATATGAAAGGGTTTTATAGTATTTTTGGAAGGTGGTTTTTGAGTTTTGAGTTTATATTTTGAGATCACAAAGTGAGTTTAGTTTTGGTAGGTAGTTTATTCATAGAAAGGGTCCTCATTAAAAATCAGTTGACTTTAGGCAGGGTAGTTTTCTTTGCAGACAGTCTTTTGAACCATATAATAGATATTTTGATTTGCATTTTTGTATATACTTGCATTGATTCCTAGGTTTTTACTGTAATCCTGTATGTAGTGTTTTTGAAAAGTTTAAACATTTTCAAAAGTACAAAGTTTACATCAACTTAAGAATATGTATTACAACCCAAGTTTCAAAACGGAAAAATCACTTATTGGTGCCTTTATGATTGTCTTCTAAATGATAGGTCAAATTCTTGTGGAGTGTGAAAGCAGCACTCTCATCAATACTTTGAGTTTATAATATTTTTACAGTACTTGGTTCAACCAATACAGTCATCTTCGGAATGGTAGCGGTTTCGGTATGAATTAAAACCAATACAAATCCTCAACCTCCTTCAGGGTTCCCGGGCCCAGTTGCAAGTTAATCAGCAAATCGTCGTGTGCCCAGCAAAAGGGTGCAAGCATGCTTACACCCTTTTGCCGGGAAACATGATCACAGCAGAAAAAAATGTTCCTGGCAAAAGGGCGTAAGAAACACATTCTCTTTATTTAGTAAAAACCAGATAAATTTAACCACAAAATCACCACGGGCTGTACAAAAAACAACCTTGGAACAACTTATAACGCGACTAGGGATTTTTTTTACTTTTAGCAAAGAAATCTTTATAATTCATTAAAATAAAACAGTTGCATACAAATGTCCTTTTGCAGGGAAAAAGTTTTTTTTTTTGGAAGTGATCATTCTTACGGGCCAAAGGGCACAAGCGCTTACATCCTTCCTGGCACACGATTAAATATTTGCTTAGCCGATATCTGTGCTAAATACCAGTCACTACTAATGTCACCTCGTGACTTTTGACCGGCAACCTTGTTTCTGCCAAGCAGTGTCCACTGCAGGTAACAACGTTTTTGTGCCCAAGAAAGCGTCTTTGGCATGTTTCCAAGCCTGAGATCTTAAGCCCGGTTTTGATTTTGTCGAATATATCAAGTCCCACAGTCCTCAAAAAAACAAAAGATTGTTTGAACACGTAGTAGCCCTCTGTATTGATGATGTATTACTGTGTTTACTGCAATGCAGAATGGGATAGACCATGAGACATCGGTGCATTTATTGCCAACACACTGCTATCATAAGCACATGGATACTTTCCAAAAGGCAGTTTTGTAACTGTCATTTTGAATCTTCCGAGGAATTATCTTCCACAACTAGAATTGGTCAAAGATTGCACCTCAAACTTACTTATCGAATGTCACTTGTATGTCTGCCATTTGCCCTACTCACAGCACACGCAGGGGGCTGTGTAGACCACGTGATTTACCCCCACTCCATCTTACCATGCACTGCGTAAACACTCTGAAATGATATCAGTACACAGGGCTTCCTGAAACAGTCCTTCTGGGGGGGATGTCCTAAATGCTGATTTGACTGCATGGATTTTGAAGAAAGAAAAAACTGTGTGAGAAAAAAATCTCTAGCAGCTTTGTCAAACTGACATTCAATTTCGTACCTCAGAGCAATTGCTCTAACTTTTCAAAGAGTCTGCTTTCACATGCGAGGTAGAAGTAGAAGCAGGGTAAACAGCGTTGCATGAGCAGCCGGCCAAACAACAGGCCAGCACAGATTTCTCCTCAGTGAGCACAGGTATCCGCTCTACCTACAGGGTTTGACTCAACTTTGGTTTTGTTATTGAAGGAGATTTGTCTTTTCTTTTTAAGAACCTCCAAATGATCTCTTCTAAATTGTTTAATACAACAACTCCTTTTTATTTAGTTTTATCAGTTTCTATTTTTTTTGAAGACCTACATGTTTTATGGTTGGGAAGGTCTTCAATGCAATGCAGGTTGTCTTCTTTGTTTTTAGTAAATAATTTTAAAATAATTTTTGACTTGTTACCTGTTTTCTTTCTGTTTTAATCTTACATAATGTGCTACCTCTACATACATACTTTTTTATCGTTTACTTGTCTGTTTTCTTCATTCCAGTAAACTGTGTGCCAATATTCAGCGGTGTAACTTTCATTTCAAATTATACTACGCTACTTTAACCCTAACAGTCCTCAATCCTCCAACAGGTGAAGGATTGAGGGTTGTTAGGGTTAGTGAGCATTTATTGTAACAAGTGGTAAGTGTCAGGATACATATATTGCTAGCTTGCACAAAATCAATTTTGCTGAAATATTTCTTGTCCCGGATTTCAAGAGAATGTTTCGCATGTCATTGTAGTAGGTGGAAAGGCTTGCGGTAGCACCATGCGAAGGAATATATGACTTATGAGTATGTGTAGTTCTGAAAAGAACCAAGAGTTTACTCAAAGTTTGGACTGAAGACATCTCACATTGTCTTCTCACATTCAGGCATGAGGCCAGTCGACCCTTCAGCTCTCCGACGGGTCATTGAGAAAATATGTGCAGACGCTCAAGTGTTTATGTACCCAGCCCAATGCTCAACTTGCTCAGCACATTTTTTGTGCTAAGCAGGACTAAGCAGAGTATCGGTCTCAAGTGATAGACTTAGCACTGTGTTTTGATCGGTATCCTGTTTCTGCTGAGCATATATATCGTTTGCTTAACACACATTTCTTTTCTCAGCAGCACTGTGGAATTCACTGCCATAGGCCAGTCACATGGTAAATCATCATAAAATTGGGACTAAGTATAAACGGTCTTTCGTCCATCCCAAACACGAATAGTAGCAATAGAATGACAGGACCACAGTGTTTGCATGTACATGTGTAATACTAGACCAGAATTCATCACATCTCATCTTAAGTTTTATCACCTCTCCGATTCATGGCAAGTGTCATTTTTTGCTCAGATACGTTGAAAAATTCAGATTTGGGAACATTTTCCACACATCTGGGTTCAGGCACAAGAGAATTGGTAATTACAGTATTCTAAGTTTCCTTTGAAGTTGTGGGTTTCTGACAGCGTAGACTGTAGACAATCTTGACGGTCTCTAAGACTGCATGGCGGTGCCAAAATGTAAGCTTCTGTTCCACAGCCTCTTATATTCACTGTCAGTTTTGTACAAAGTGCTTCATATCTTTAGGAAAATTATATGATTTGGAAATATTCCTCTAATATAGTTACTTTCTACTTTTTAGTGAAAGATATGCAATGTCCGTCTTTCTTAGGTGCGTGTGTGGTTTTTGATTGATATCGATTTACTTAATGTTAAACAGAAAGTAGTTTGCAGATGAAATGTATATTGAAAATAGTATTTTCATGAATAATACCAGTGAGTTGTGAAGTATTGAATGCCATTCAGATGGTTTTTGAACGGATCGTAGATGACGGTACTTTTTTGTTGAGTCTCTTTTTTCTGTTCTTTTTTTTTCTACTGTAGTGTACTGTAGTTGAAAAGAAAATTGCTAGTTCTGTAATAAATTCATGAAATTTTGACTGTCTCACCGGGAAGAATTTCACACTCAAGGATTGCATCAAGTTAATGGCTCAGTTGAACCCAGATTTACAAGTCGGAGCACTCATGACATAAATGCAAAATTTGTGTGGCTATTTTTTTTTAATTTTGATAAAAAATTGTTTTTATTTCATGCAGCATGAGCACCTTGTAGAAATTATAATTTTTGGCACAGCAGCTGGTCTACATATGGCTTCCTCCTCTTCTGATAGACCCTTCCCATATTGCCTACTATTTTAATGGGCAGCCAAAGTTTTCCAAAAGTTCCCCTTCAGTTGGTGACTGGTTTTGCTTCTCATTTCACTTCAAGCAGCGGTGTATCTACTACTTTGTGGTTTGGTAGCTACTGAAAATTTGTTCAGCGCTCTGGATTATTTGTCAGCTATGCTGACAAGCCAGTGTAGTCTACTTTAATAGCACTGGTAGGCAAAAACTAAGGCCACGGGAAATCAGAGGTCACCATAGAATCTGCGTTGTTTTAATTTTTGAATGGTAACAGGAATTTTGGTCATATTGCTTTTACCCTTTTTTAAAAGTAGTGTGCATTTAAGTCTACATTGTCAACTGTGTCATGATTCAGAAACTTATGCATTAAAAAAGAACTTGACAAAATGATGGGCTGCTGTTAAAGACATTTTTTCCTTTTTCTGTTTGGCATGCGATACATGTACCGTGATCAAACTTTTGAACTTGAACAGGCTTTAACGTCTTTTTTTTTCTTATTTGAAAATTGGGTGCAAAGTTTCCATCGATATCTCCTGTCAGATTGTGATAGGTTAGCCCCTTTGGGTGATAATTGTAGAGTGTGTGATAAACAGCAAACACTCTGGATCAAAGTCTGTGCAGTTTCATCGTGTGAACTGTTGCAGTTATTTTGTGCAGTATGACAGATAATAGCTGCATGCAGTGCAAGTGTTTCATCATCGTGCTAGTGTTTGCTTTGTAAAAATGAATGGAAGGAAAGGAAGGAAAACCTATGAAAGGTGATGGGGGAACAAGATTTCATTGCTTTCACTCCGTGATTTTCAAGTCGCCACTGCGTTGGGTATGTATATTGTTCAGTAATATCAATTATTGGGGGCAACTAACCAAAAGGCCAGTTTATGCATGTACTTTACCAGTTGGTGTTTGCATTTAGAGTTAAGTTTACGTCGCACATAGCATTTACTGCAAAATTTCCCAGGACTGAAATTGTGTTCAGTTTTCATGAATTCAGTGGCAATGCCAGTGCTTTCTGCAATTCCGCACAAATCACATTGAAATTTTCAATTGTACTTAGTATATGAACTGCCCCTGTCTAAACGAAATTGCATTCAAATATTTAATGGAGGATGATTGTTAGTTCTCAATTCCAAAGCAGAAGACGAATTCACAGGAGGTAACCCTGCAGAGTTGAACTATTGAGAAGTATAATGGTATTTGCTTTCATAACTTACTTTCGGCAGCTAAATTGTGAATTGCCAAATATTAGATTGAATTGTACATGTGGCTATATGGGATCTGCAAGTTTCTCTCATTGTCATTTTTCAGCTTTTTGGTTCAAGAATTAAACCCTCTCCATGAAAACGAGAGCAATATGGATGACACTGAAAACTCTCCATTTGACTGGTACTGTGGAGGCAACAACACTGAGACTCTGGTGAATTTCAGTTTTGACCTGAGCCACACCCTGTACAATGCCTGCTTTGTGGACTTGGTCTACACAGTGCCGCACCTTGTCTTGGTCCTCGTGGGCGTCTTGGTTCTCCTCATCCTCGGATGCTGCACCCGCATCCGCCAAGAGGAGCACCCCTACCAGGTCCAGTTCCCTGGTCACAACGTCCGCTGGGTTTTCAACTTCCTCCTTCTTTCGCTGACCATGTGTGAGCTGGGCGAGGGTGTCCTGACGGACGTGGACGTCTACCGAGACGAGCCTACCCAACCCCACCTCTACATCCCTGCCATCCTCTCCCTATCAGCAGCTCTCTTGACCGTGGTCTACTACAACCAGATGGAGCTGTGGAGCCAGCCACACATGGTCTGGCTCCTGTTACTTTACTGGGTAATGGCCCTGGGTTCAGAGATCACCCGGTTCCTCAACTTGAACCATGATGTGGAGGTAGACTCCTCCCTCCTCAGATATGATCTCTGCATGGCCGCCATAGTCATGTACTCCTTGTATTTGGTTCTGGAAATTTGGGTCATCATAACAAAGGTGAATAAAGTACTTTCTTGTTTTTCTCTCTTTCATTTTTAATGCAAATGTTGTGGTCATGCGGTTTAGGCAAACCTTTCAGTTCATTGTAATTAAAATGACATTAGGGTGAAACAGTTTGTGTTTCCTTTTATATCTTGAAGTAATTGCCCATGAGGACAAAGTGAAATGTCAATTCTATTCGTTCATTTCAAGGCTTAAAATCTAGGACATTTTGTGGGAAAATTGTTATTTCTTTGGCAAATGTTTGAGGCAATTTCAAAGGACCAACTCCTTTCAAATGCAAACTACAGATGAACTTTGAAAATAGCCAAACAATTATTTTGAACTCTACCAGTATGTAAACAAACAGTGTTGGAGGTATCAATTATCCCTTGAAAAGGAACCAGCAAGTTTATTCCAAATGTAGATAGCCAATATGCTGGTGTCTTGCGTGCACACTTTATTAAAAGCAGTCCCTTTGTTGTCCCAGTTAACTCTTAATAATTCTGGAAGCAGAGGCCAAAGGCCGCTTGGCCCATCAGCCTTTAGTGGTAAGAGGAATTGATTAAGAGTTCAGGGGGGTGCAGTCAACCCCCATAGATCCACTTTTAATACAAAAGTTTGTTGTTTGCTTGACCATGCAAATGTTTTGAGGCCGTGTGCCTGTTGTCTGTTCTATACTGATATTTTATGATTGGTCACAAGTTAAAGTGGGACCAATTCGTGGTACAGGGGCTTAACAACTGTACGATGGGTGTTCTGGGACCCATATGAGGCTGACTTGCCGCTGAAGGGGTACTTTTGCATGGAGTGCGTTGCAAAGATTTTAATCAACAAGTAAAAAAACCCAAAAAAATCCCTTTGAATCATGCTCAATTTCATCTCTTTTTTCTCTTGCTGGAAGATTTTCAGTTGTTACCACAAAGAGGAGTTCCCGGAAGACCTAAAGAAGGACGACATGCATTATCTGCAGGGCTACACTAACCTGCTGTCGTCAGCATTCTACTGGTGGCTGAACTGGATCTTCAAGAAGGGCTACAAGCAAGCTCTAGAAATGTCAGACCTGGGCAGCCTGTCCGAGATACACACCACCAAGTACCAGAGGGACGCCTTCACCAGAGCCCTCAGGAAAGAGCAGGTGAGCAGTCGCCATCTAAAATTCTGCCCTGTTTAAGGGCTTTGAAGTGGCTGTGTATTGCAATGAAACTTGGTATGTATATAGACATGTTGCTACAATTTTAGCCCAAGGGAACAAGTCAAGTGTTTTGCAAATTTCATCACTGTTTTCACAAAATTCTGTCTTTCTTGTGCTAATAATGGCATGTTTTTGTGATTGTGATATCAAAGACACTTCTGAAATTGCCTTTGTTATCACATTTTTTTATTGCACTTGTGTCACTTCTTGAGAAAATTGACACATTACTGTCATGTTCAGCTCTTTTCCGAATGGATAATGGTCACCAAAATGATGAAAGCATTTGGCACTCTGTAAAAATGAGTTCGAATTCTTCGAGTTTGCTGAAGATGTATGAAACTTTTTTCTAATGACTGCATCTCAACCAGGCTAGAGCCAAAGCTCACAAGAAACCACTGAGCCTGTTTCGTGTCTACGTCCGAGCGTTTGGCTTTCGCATGATGATCGGTGGATTTGTCAAGATATGCGGCGATATTGCCACCTTCATCCCACCCCTTGCACTTGCCAGTGCAATCAACTATGTCACTGATGTCTACTATGGCAGGGGACTGCAGGACTATGCCATTGTGAGTATTATTCACTCCATTTGCAAACTTGCAATTGCGATCAGTTGGCAAAGGAATTCAGAGGCGTTATTTCACTGGTCCACGTACTGTTCTTCCCCTTGTACATGCATGCACGTTAAAAGGAATGAGTACCGGCAGAGGGGCAATATATCAAGCTAAACAGCAGCAGTGGAGTTTAGATGGCTATTTCTCATATTTTAGACAGCCAAAGGAGATTTTTTAGGCAATAAACTTTTAATTGGAACTCTTAGCACATTGTGAATTAATTATTAATATCAAGCATTGCATGCTTGAAAAGAGCCTTTCACCAATAGTGGAATTTGTTAATCTTCAAAGAGGAGTGTAGGCAATATTCAGTTACAGCACTTTCTATGAAACAAGAAACAGGCATCTTGCATATTCTGATGTAATAAGTGTTTCAGTATTTCAACAAAGCACTCTTATCAAAATGAAGTGTGCCGTCACCCAAGGACCGTGCATGCACGAGGTCTTATTAGTGTAGCAGTACATCAATTTTCACAACAGATGCGGTGCCATGTTCTCAAATAATCTTGCCAAATATTGAACAGGCTCATCGAAAAAAATAGATGTTTTGGTACCGAGATCAGTGTGGAGAAAGTAATCACTTCGGATTAGGGAGAGGCAGTGAAGACAGTTGCAGCCTGGCCCGTAACAAGTTGTTGTTTTTAATCACTTGGTTTCCACTTTTTTCCAGACAAAGTACATCTCGCTTAGTGACTTCCTACGCAATGGTTTTGTGCTGGTCACCATCATGTTCTGGGCAACTATTGTCAAGGTACTGGGCCAACAGGGTCACTACCATATTGTCATTACTGAGTCGGGCCACATCAAGTCTGCACTTCAGGTATTAAACATAACGTTGAAGTGAATGGCTTCCTATTCTGGGGGATTCTATTCGAGACTGTGTAATCTTTATCATCGGGTCACAGTTTTTGATGAAAGGTGAAGTTGTTGGAAAAGAATGACACCAGTTCTGGCAAGATCTCGGTCTTATAAAAACTTAAAATCTTAGGACACTTTCATTATATTTGAAGGATTTCTCCCAGATTACATTTTAAATGACGTAAACTTTTTCTCAGTATGTAGCAATGAACAATAAGTATTATCATACAGAAAGTTGGCTTCCAATTACGGATAAAGCTATCAAATTTACCCAGGCCTCATAATTTTGTATGCACATTGATGGTAGAAGCCATATGTCCAACTTTAACAGATTTTTAAGGGGGTTTTCAAAACTTGTAAAATCCGCAAGGGTAAAATCAACTTCATGACATTGCCAGAATATGACATTGCAGAATATGTAAGCTTAATAGGGTATGATTTTACTGATGTTGCACAAGGGCCATATAATGTTTCTGTCATCACATTTGTCTGACTTGGAAATGTGTTTGCAGGCGGCTATATATGACAAGTCGTTGCAACTGTCCAGCTATACCATAAGTGGGGGCGCTATGACCATGGGCCAGATCACCAACCACATGTCGGTGGACACCACTAACATCCTCAACTCAGCACAGTGGGTCCATTACGTCTGGTCCATTCCATTTGTGGTATGTATGGTCATTTTTTGGGGGGGGGAGTTGAAGTATATTTGTAATATTCCACAATTTTTAAAAATAAAACTCCTGATGAAGCTCTGGCCCTCGTTAGTTGGTTTCCTTTCAAAAGAGGTTCAGCTATCCAGCAAAAGTGTCGAGGGGAATAGTCAAATAAATAAGGTACCGGAATTTTAACTTGCCGTTGGAATTTCTTCTGTATTACCTCTGTATGTTTGGGACTATTTTTGAGTCTCATGGTCTTTGATGACTCTTTCTTGATGCGAATTTGATGTTACCTCTGATGGGATAAGTCTTGTTTTTGGCCATGGATCATTTGTTTTGTGAACTACTTTGTGACCTTGCATTGTTAATACATCATCTGCATTGAGTACGTACATATACATGTACCCTCATTTCACTGTGGGTGTTCACAGATTACCGGCTACATGGTAATCCTGTACTTTGAGCTGGGAGTGGCTGCCCTGATTGGCTGCATTGTCTTCTTCATCACCATACCCATCCAAGTCATCATAGCAAGGAAGACGGCCAAGTACCAAAAAACTACCATGGTGGGTCATTTTAACTGCTCCTTGTTTCGCTCCCCAAAGGAAGCTAGTCAAAGAAACTTTTTGTATTTTTTAAGTGATATTAGCCTTGTTGTGTGTCCTGTATTTTATTATTGAAATAAATCTGTACAGTTAGCAACTGGGTATTTATACAAAACAGGAAAAGTTTTCAAATTATGTTGTAACTTCTCCTATAACTCAATACAAATTCCGGAATTCTTGGGGTAAATTTACTCTCTGGATTCTTTCTCAGTTGAATTGAAACAAACTTCATTTTAGAGTTGTACTTCTTCTAATAAGCTGTTCATATTAAAAAAAGGAATTTCACTTTAAAGTGTTTGGACATTGTACAACAATACTTTTTAGATAGCAATGTCACAAAATATGGAGGGCCTGACGTTTTGATCCTAGCAGAATCTTCTCAAAGGCAAAATAACTAGTAGACTCTAATTGTCATATACTTGTTATTTTGCCTTTGAGAAAGATTCTGCAAAGATCGAAATGTCAGGCCCTCTACATTTTGTGATTTGTATTTTAGGTTACTGTAGTCAGCAAGCAGTTTGCAGCAGTTTTGTATTACACAGATATAATGTCTTAAGTTTCTACTTAAGCAATGACAAGTGTGAACAGGAAAATTCTGGGAGATGGGACACAGGAATGAGGACCAGAATTTCCTTGAAAAGTTGTTTCGTACAAAGCTGCTGTCTGTTTCCTGAGCATGCAATGATTTAATTTTCACTTCCAGAAGAGAATATTACAGACTTTTAATGTCACACCAAGGTTTTGCACATCACATGTGACCTTCTAATTGTCTACCTCTGCAGTTCCAATCAGACGAGCGTCTGAAACGAACCAACGAGTTGCTGCAGGGGATCAAGCTGATCAAGCTGTACGGCTGGGAGGACATGTTCTACACGGCCATCAGCAAAGTCCGAGCCCTGGAGGTCATGACTATGATCAAGCAGATGGGATATAAGGTGGTCCTCAGTAAGTGGGAGATGTCTCTCGTCATGTTTGGAAGTTAGTGAAAGCCAGTGTTGTAGTCGAGACCCCCAAAAGACATGCATGTACGCCAGTGCACAACATTGTTCGCGTACATTAACTTCCATTACATTTTAAAGGTAATCCTATGACCATTTAGTGTATGTCTTGTATTCATGTATGTACCAGGTTAATTAAGTTTGATTTTAGAAATTTTGGCTTCATTGTTTCTCATTACAGTGACCATCACAAATGCTTGTCCGTTACTGGTGACACTTGTGGTAAGTCCTCTTTTTTTGCTAATGTAATTAAAAGTTAGGAGAAGTATTTTTTTGCCATATTGCCGAAGTGTTACTGTTATAGGTTGAAATTTCTGAGGGTGCAATCATTTTGAAGGGGGTAGTAATTAGTATGCAAATGAACTGTGGCCTGGTCACACTTCTGTACATTTCAAAATTTGAAAGGGGGAGGGCAAGCAGGAGGGGGGGGCAGACTTCTGCTAGGGCTTGTGCACCCTGTGGCCCCCCTATAGTTTTACCATCACCTTAGCCTTTTATTAACTCTTTCCATCTAGCTGCCAAAACAGTGTACTTCGTAATCATTGTCAGTACTGTAGTCAGCATTGAAGGTAATTGGACATTGTCAGTGTAGTCAGCATTGAAGGTACTTGGACATTGTCAGTACTGTAGTCAGCATTGAAGGTACTTGGACATTGCCAGTACTGTAGTCAGCATTGAAGGTACTTGGACATTGCCAGTACTGTGGTCAGCATTGAAGGTACTTGGACATTGTCAGTACTGTGGTCAGCATTGAAGGTGCTTGGACATTG